AAGCGCCATGCTCTACCAACTGAGCTACAACTGAGCTACATGAGCCTAAATAAAAGATCCCAGAAATGTTCCATACGCACAAATAGGTTATTTCTCAAATTGTGCACACATTCGTTTACATCCCTGTTAGTGAGCATTTCTTCTTTGCCAAAATAATCCATTCACCTGACAGGTGTGGCATAACAAGAAGCTGATTAAAGAGCATGATCATTACACAGGTGCACTTTGTGCAGGGGACAACAGGCCACTAAAATGTGCAGTTGTGTCACAAGTTTGAGGGACTGGAATGTCCACCAGAGCTGTTGCCAGATAATTTAAATGTTAATTTCTCTATCATGAACCGCCTACAATGTCATTTTAGAGAATTTGACAGTTTGTCCAACCGGCCTCACAACCGCAGAGCACATGTATAGAGTTGTGTGGGCTAGCGGTTTGCGGATGTCAACTTTGTGAACAGAGTGCCCCATGGTGGCGGTGGGGTTATGGTATGGGCAAGCATCAAATCAAATACACATATTTAGCAGATGTTATTGTGGGTTTAGCGAAATGCTTATGTTCCTAGCTCCAACAGTGCAGTAGTATCTTACAATTCACAACTATACACACAAATCTAAGAGTAAAAGTATGGAATTAAGAAATATATAAATATTAGGACGAGCAATGTCAGCGTGATATTGACTAAAATACAGTAGAATACAGTATATACACATATGAAACGAGTAAAGCAGTTATGTAAACATTATTAAAGTGACCAGTGATTAAATGCCTATGTACAGTTGAAGTTGGAAGTTTACATAAACCTTAGCCACATACATTTAACCTCAGTTTTTCACAATTACTGACATTTAATCCTAGTAAAAATTCCCTGTTTTAGGTCAGTTAGGATCACCACTTTATTTTAAGAATGTGAAACGTCAGAATAATAGTAGAGAGAATGATTTATTTCAGCTTTTATTTCTTTAAATCACATTCCCAGTGGGTCAGAAGTTTACATACACTCAATTAGTAATTGGTAGCATTGCCTTTAAATTGTTTAACTTGGGTCAAACGTTTTGGGTAGCCATCCACAAGCTTCCCACAATAAGTTGAGTGAATTTTGGCCCATTCCTCCTGACACAGCTGGTGTAACTGAGTCAGGTTTGTAGGCCTCCTTGCTCGCACACGTCTTTTCAGTTCTGACCACACATTTTCTACAGGATTGAGGTCAGGGCTTTGTGATGGCCATTCCAATACCTTGACTATGTTGTCCTTAAGCCATTTTGACAACTTTGGAAGTATGCTTTGGGTCATTGTCCATTTGGAAGACCCATTTGCGACCAAGCTTTAACTTCCTGACTGATGTCTTGAGATGTTGCTTCAATATATCCACAATTTTCCTTCCTCATGATGCCATCTATTTTGTGAAGTGCACCAGTCCTTCCTGCAGCAAAGTACCCCCACAGCATGATGCTGCCACCCCCGTGCTTCAAGGTTGGGATGGTGTTCTTTGGCTTGCAAGCATCCACCCTTTTCCACCAAACATAACGATTGTCATTATGGACAAACAGTTCTATTTTTATTTAATCAGACCAGAGGACATTTCTCCAAAAGGTACAATCTTTCTCCCCATGTGCAGTTGCAAACCGTAGTATGGCTTTTTTATGGCGGTTTTGGAGCAGTGGCTTCTTCCTTGCTGAGCGGCCTTTCAGGTTATGTCGATATAGGACTCGTTTTACTGGGGATATAGATACTTTTGTACATGTTTCCTCCAGCATCTTCACAAGGTCCTTTCCTGTTGTTCTTTTCGCACCAAAGTACGTTCATCTCTAGGAGACAGAACGCGTCTCCTTCCTGAGCTGTATGACGGCTGCGTGGTCCCATGGTGTTTATACTTGCGTACTATTGTTTGTACAGATTAACGTGGTACCTTCAGGCGTTTGGAAATTGCTCCAAAGGATGAACCAGACTTGTGGAGGTCTACAATTTATTTTTCTGAGGTCTTGGCTGATTTCTTTGGATTCTCCCATGATGTCAAGCAAAGAGGCACTGAGTTTGAAGGTAGGCCTTGAAATACATCCACAGGTACACCTCCAATTGACTAAAATGATGTCAATTAGCCTATCAGAAGCTTCTAAAGCCATGACATCATTTTCTGGAATTTTTCAAGCTGTTTAAAAGGCACAGTTAACTTATAGATAGAGCCGTGCTCCCTCTGCTGTTTCCTGAAGTCCACGATCAGCTCCTTCGTTTTGTTGACGTTGAGGGAGAAGTTATTTTCCTTGCACCACTCCGCCAGGGCCATAAACTCCTCCCTGTAGGCTATCAAGCCTACTACGGTTGTGTCGTCTGCAAACTTGATGATTGAGTTGGAGGCGTGCGTGGCTACGCAGTCATGGGTGAACAGGGAGTACAGGAGGGGGCTGAGCATGCACCCTTGTGGGGCCCCTGTGTTGAGGATCAGCGAGGTGGAGGTGCTGTTTCCTACCTTCACCACCTGGGGGAGGTCCGTCAGGAAGTCCAGGACCCAGGGCCCTGAGCTTAATGATGAGCTTGGAGGGTACTATGGTGTTGAAGGCTGAGCTATAGTCAAGGGACAGCATTCTGATGTAGGTATTCTTCTTGTTCAGATGGGATAGGGCAGTGTGCAGTGTGATGGCGATTGCATCGTCTGTGGATCTATTGGGGCGGTAAGCAAATTGAAGTGGGTCTAGGGTGTCAGGTAAGATAGAGATGATATGATCCTTAACTATCCTCTCAAAGCACTTAATGATGAGAAAAGTGAGTGCTACGGGGCGATAGTCATTTAGTTCAGATACCTTTGCTTTCCTGGGTACATGAACAATTATTGACATCTTGAAGCAAGTGGGGACAGCAGACTGGTATAGAGAGAGATTTAATATGTCTGTAAACACTCCAGCATGCTCTGAGGACGCGGCTAGGGATGCCGTCGCAGCCTTGCGAGGGTTAACACGCTTTAATATCTTACTCACGTCAGCCACGGAGAACGAGAGCCCACAGTTCTTGGGAGCGGGCCGTGCCGGTGGCACTGTGTTATCATCAAAGCGGGCGAAGATGTTTAACTTGTCCGGGAGCAAGCTGTCGGTGTCTGCGACGTGGATGGTTTTCCCTTTGTAATCTGTGATTGTCTGTATACCCTGCCACATACGTCATGTCTGAGTCGTTGAATTGCAACGCCACTGTCTCTGTACTGACGTTTTGCCTGTTTGATTGCCTTACGGAGGGAATAACTGCACTGTTTGTATTTGACCACAGTCACCTTGCCATGGTTAAATGCGGTGGTTCGCGCTTTCAGTTTTGTGCGAATGCTGCCATCTATCCACACTTTCTGGTTTGGTTAGGTTTTAATAGTCACAGTTGGAACAACATCCCCTATACACTTCCTGATGAACTCAGTCACTGTGTCCGTGTATACGTCAATGTTAATAGCAGACGCTACCCGGAACATATCCAAGTCCGCATGATCAAAGCAATCTTGAAGCATGGATTCCGATTGGTCAGACCAGCGTTGAATAGACATTAGCATTACATTTTTAGTCATTTAGCAGATGCTCTTATCCAGAGCGACTTACAGTTAGTGAGTGCATACATTTTCATACTGGCCCCACGTGGGAATCGAACCCACAACCCCTGGCGTTACAAGCGCCATGCTCTACCAACTGAGCTACACGGGGGGCTCCCAGACCTGTTTGAGTTTCTGCATATAGGAAGGGAGGAGCAAAATGGGAGTCGTGATCTGATTTGCCGAAGGGAGTGTGGGAGGGCCTTGCAGGCCTCCCCGGAAGTGGGAGCAGCAGTGGTTGAGCGTTTTTCCAGCGCAAGTATTACAGTGTTGATAGAACGACGGTATCGTTTTCCTCAAATTTGCTCTGTTAAAATCCCCAGCTACAATGAGGCCTCAGGATAAGTGGTTTCCAGTTTTCACAAATGCTAGTGTAGTTCCTTGAGGGCCGTCGTGGTATCGGCTTGAGGGGGAATATACAATTCTCTTCGGAGGTAATATGGTCGGCATATGATTGTGAGGTATTCTAGGTTGGGTGAACAAAATGACTTGGAGGGAGCTGAAAGTCTGTATTGCCCAGCAACAGCCCCGAAACCTGAAGGATCTGGAGAAGGTCTGTATGGAGGTGTGGGCCAAAATCCCTGCTGCAGTGTGTGCAAACCTGGTCAAGACCTACAGGAAACGTATGATCTCTGTAATTGCAAACAAAGGTTTCTGTACCAAATATTAAGTTGTGCTTTTCTGATGTATCAAATAGTTATGTCATGCAATAAAATGCAAATTAATTACTTAAAAATCATACAATGTGATTTTCTGGATTTTTGTTTTAGATTCCGTCTCTCACAGTTGAAGTGTACCTACAGTGAGGGAAAAAAGTATTTGATCCCCTGCTGATTTTGTACGTTTGCCCACTGACAAAGAAATGATCAGTCTATAATTTTAATGGTAGGTTTATTTGAAAAGTGAGAGACAGAATAACAACAAGTATTACCTACAATAGGAATACTTTTTTCCCCTCACTGTATGATACAAATTACAGACCTCTACATGCTTTGTAAGTAGGAAAACCTGCAAAATCGGCAGTGTATCAAATACTTGTTCTCCCCACTGTATGTGCATGGAATGATGAGCAAGGCATTGAAGATATTCGATCACATCCTGTTACCAAAAATAAAACTGTGCATGCCCAAAGATGTTCCATAAGGTTTAACCAGGTGGTTTAAGCCAGATGTTGTAAGTATAGACCCAGTGTGTCTTAATATATTTTAGAAAAAGACCAAAATACAAGACCAAAATACAGATAAAGCGATAGAAACATTCTAATACAAGGGGTGATGCTCTCATCCCATGCCCAGAGTATTGTGTCATCTCACCGGCTCTCTGTTTAGAGTTCTTGGATTTGGTTCCCTCCATGAGAAAAGGGAAGATCCTGCTGGCGGGGTAGACCTTACACAGCATGCCCATGATGGCACGCACGTCCTTCCTAACCACGTCCTTAGACTCACCCACCTGAGGGGGGACACAGAGCAAACAAATAAGTAAACCCTCAGGAGGGCTATAGAGTTATAGACCAGTCAGGGCAGTTCAACTGCAATCTGGGACTGTTTCCCTCTAACCCTATTGTAGGTAATACTTGTCAGATTAGAGTTGATTAACTTGAAATATTTTTTGGTGGGGGTGAATCAGATGGCCCCTGTGCACATGGTGTGTCCCCAAAGAAGTGCGGGACGAGACGCCCGTGCCACTGCAACCAGCGCCCCGACAGAGTGCAACTCATCACTCTCACACCCCACCACAGCTAATTACATGTTGCTAGCGAATAAACAACTCCTTATTATCGTATATAACAGATCTATACCCAGGCCAGCACAGTAGAGCTCAGCTCGGAGTGAAAAAGGTATCAGTGAAACACAGGTCGAGTCTCAAACGCCACCCTATTCCTCATGTGGTGCACTACTTTTGACCAGGGCCCATAGTGCTCTGGTGAAAGTAGTGCACTATATAGGTATTGGGTGTCATTTGGGACGTAGCCTTGAACCCCCAGTGACAGACCTTGAGGACGAGGTAGGGGATGAAAGAGGTGGCCTCCTGTTCACTCAGGTGGTAGTTGTGCTTGCTGAGGCTGAGGAAAAGGAGCTTCAGATACTCCAGGGCCTTCATCAGCACGCTGGTGTTTGTGTCGAAGAAGCGCAACGTGTACCACTTCAGGACCAGGTCCAGGCAGGCCACCGTTGCCTCGTGTTCCTCCTCCAGACACTAGCCAAGGGATGATGGGAGGAGAGAGAAGGGGAGAGAGTGAACTTTATTCATTCATACATGTAGGATTGCTACCAAATTAAAAAGGTAGGGTCACCATGATGTTTATACTGGTTATTTCCTACTATTCATCAAGTACTATGGAAATCATGTGTGGCTCAGTTGGTAGAGCATGGCACTTGCACCAGGGTGGTGGGTTCGATTCCCACAGGGGACCAGTATGAAAAGGTACGCTCTCACTACTGTAAGTCGCTTTGGATAAAAGCTCCTGCTAAATGGCATATTTTAGTATTAAAAGGGCTAGCTATGGGATTTTGCTTTTATTGCCAGAGATGTCCGTCTCACCTCGTACACATCATCGAGTACGGTTACATGCACACAGTAATGCAATTGTGGATAGTCAGATTAAGAATAATTTGATTAAAACGTTTACATGCTTTGCAAAAATAAAGATTTCCCTAATATTCCTTCTTACATGGACACATCTGAAATCAGGCTACCTAGCCAATCAAAATAAACGTTCTACCCCATGTCTGATTCTGAGTTTGGACATAAAGTTTATATGTGAAAACTACTTCTAAGATGTATACATTCAGTTGTTCTGAACTCACTTCACTCGTGCTAAAGAGGGAGGCTCGCTCGGCTGGTGCTAGCATACGTGCAGATCAAATACACAGCTGGAACGCCGTTTAAGGTGTTAACATGTCCTAATCATTTGAACGATTGCTCAGAAAACCAGGTTTTTAATCGGCGTATGCTTACTTTGATTTTGACCTTACGCTGATTAAGATAAGCAGAGTAATGTGTTTACGTGACTATTGCATAATCTACCTACTGCCATTAATTTTATATCAAATTATTACTGTGCATTAGGGCTGGGATGTATCCAGATTTTCATACCGTTTCTGTACCATACCGGGGTATACAGTATTATCAGAAGTGCGCACAAGGGGTGCCATTTCTAAAAATCAATTTTAGAAAACGCACAAACAATTTAGGCAAAGGGATCTTGATCCAGGAAGGGATTCAATGTCTAGTCTGGGTACCAGTCTTTTTAGCTAACATTCCACTCCATGTCATTGCCAAAGAGACTGGCCTTTCAGCAATCTCAACGTTCAATATGCAGCTGGATTTACTGCGGAGTTGCTTGTTGGTAATAACATTAATATTGGAAAGAACAACATTATCCGTATCCATGACATGTGGAGCCACGAAAATAGAATTCCAATTATAACAAAGTCAAAAATAAACATTTAGCTAGGCAAGTCGTATTTTGAGGCTTAAAATCAAAGCAAAGAGTTTTTGTGGCTGGAATTGCAGTATGTATTTAGTTTGGGAATTTACACGAGCCAGCTATTTTTGACAGACTGGACAAACAAACAAAAAACTTGCATAGCAACCGGATATCAACGTGTTCTATGGAGAGAAGAAAGTGAGCGTTCCAATATTTTGATAATCGTTGTGATTGGAGGATAGCGGTGAGGATTATCGAATCAGGATCAACTCCTCAAGCTCATTAATGATAGAATGTTCATATTTGAAGATGGCAGAAAGGCCAGTCTCTTTGACAATGAGAAGGAGTAGAATGTTAGCTAAAGAGACTGGTGCTCAGGCTAGAATGTCTCTGCTGTAACCAAGAAGCTTAATTTTGTCATCTAGCCACTTAGCTAGTAAGTTAGCAAACCAAATGCAAAGCTGGAGCCCTGAGCTGGATGTCATTTGACACATCTTAGAGGTTTTACAGTTATACTTACTTCATAGTTATTAGCAGTGGTGGTGCACTACGTTTTTAAATGTTATATTGAAAATTATACCGTTGGCATTTCGAAATACACTACATCACCAAAAGTATGTGGACACCTGCTGGTCGAACATCTCATTCCAAAATCATAGGCATTAATATGGAGTTGGTCCCCCCTTTGCTGCTATAACAGCCTCCACTCTTCTGGGAAGGTCTTCCACTAGATGTTGGGACATTGCTGTGGGGACTTGCTTCCATTCAGCCACAAGGGAATTAGTGAGGCCGGGCAATGATGTTGGGCGATTAGGCCTGTTTCGCAGTCTGCGTTCCAATTCATCCCAAAGGTGTTCGATAGGGTTGAGGTCACGGCTCGGTGCAGGAGAGTCAAGTTCTTCCACACCGATCTCGAAAAAAACATTTCAGTATGGACCTCGCTTTGTGCACAGGGGCATTGTCAAGCAGAAACAGGAAAGGGCCTTACCAAACTGTTGCCACAAAGTTGGAAGCACAAAATCGTCTAGAATGTCAATGTATGCTGTAGCGTTAAGATTTACCTTCATTGGAACTAAGGGGCCTAGCCCAAACCATGTAAAACAGCCCCAGACCATTATTCCTCCTCTACCAAACTTTACAGTTGGCACTATGCATTCGGGCAGGTAGCGTTCTCCTGGCATCCGCCAAACCCAGATTCGTCCGTCGGACTGCCAGATGGTTTAGCGTGATTCCTCACTCCAGAAAACACGTTTCCACTGCTCCAGAGTCCAATGGCGGCGAACTTTACACCACTCCAGCCAACACTTGGGATTGCGCATGGTGATCTTAGGCTTGTGTGCAGCTGCTTGGCATTGGAAACCCATTTCATGAAGCTCCTGACGAACAGTTCTTGTGCTGACGTTGCTTCCAGAGGCAGTTTGGAACTCGGTATTAAGTGTTACAACCGAGGACAGACGATTTTACGCGCTTCAGCACTCGGCGGTCCCGTTCTTTGAGCTTGTGTGGCCTACCACTTCGCGGAAGAAATTTGACGAACTGACTTGTTGGAAAGGTGGCATACTATGACGGTGCTCTTCAGTATTGGCCATTCTACTGCCAATGTTTGTCTATGGAGATTGCATGGCTGTGTGCTCGATTTTATATACCTGTCAGCAACGAGTGTGACTGAAATAGCCAAATCCACTAATTTGAAGGGGTGTCCATATACTTTTGTATATATAGTGTACCCCGGTATACGGTATATCGCCCAAGCCTACTGTGCATGTAATTGTACTCATTGATTGATTTATCGTGATGCTGGAGTAAGTCTGTGTTTTGGTGGTGGTGTGTGTGTGGGGGGGTGAGTCAGATGGCCCATGTGCACATTGGTGTGTCCCCAGAGAGGTACGGGACACCTGTGCCACTGCAACCAGCCCCCTGACTGAGGGTGCAACTCATCCCTCACCAATTCACTACATCTGGGTCAGTATATAGCTCACCTGTTATGGTGGTGAAAGCTCAGAGTTAGTGCTGGAAGTCTATGTATGCGTAGGGTCTCACCTCTATCATGGAGTTGATGGCTTTGATGTGGTGCTGAAAGTCATGGGAGAAGAGTTCCTCCTGAAGCCACTTGGCCACACAGGGAGCCATCTGAACTTTAAGCTGCTCCACATACTCGTCGCGAGGAGACCCAAAGTTCCACTTTAGCACCTACAACACACAGGGGATACATTTAACTCACAGTGTTTACTCAACAAGCAAAAGTGAACTACACTTCCTAATCTGCACCACCAAGCACTTTTGCCCATAGATGTGCACACACTAGGGCTGACCCATTTAGTTGGTACCCAAATTTTTTTTGGGGGAGCGTCGCAAATATATTCTTTTTGGGGAGGGTTTTGCACACGAGACACCCATCTGAGTTGCGCCTGTCTCAGCGGACTGACTAATCCATTGCAGAGGACGAAGGGATGGCACCCGTCCATCACTAAGACATGTGCTATTGAAATTGTATATGGTTATATTATGTAAGAACAGTGGTGCAAAACTAATAATAAGGTGTATTACTTTATAAATTGTGTTTTCAGAATTGTATGGTTTACTATACTGAACAAAAACAAAACAATTAAGATTTTACGGAGTTACAGTTCAAATAAGGAAAATCAGTCAATTTAAATAAATTCATTAGGCTCTAATCTATGGATTTCACGACTGGGAATACAGATATGCATCTGTTGGTCACAAACAACGGGCCTCACAATGGACCTCAGGATCTCGTCACAATATCTCTGCATTCAAATTGCAATTGTGTTAGCTGACAGTAGCTTATGCCTGCCTATAACATAACCCCACCGCCACCATGGGGCACCCTGTTCACAACGGTAACATCAGAAAACCGCTCGCCCACACGACGCCATACACGTAGCCTGCGGTTGTGAGGCCGGTTGGACGCACTACTAAATTCTCTAAAACGACGTTGGAAGTGGCTTAAATTAACATTAAATCCACTGGCAACAGCTCTGGTGGACATTCCTGCAGTCAGCATGCCAACTGCATTCTCCATCAAAACTTGAGACATCTGTGGCATTGTGTTGTGACCAAACTGCAGCCTTTTATTGTCCCCAGCACAAGGTGCACCTGTGTAATGATCATGCTGTTTAATCAGCTTCTTGATATGCCACACCTATCACGTGGATGGATTATCTTGGAAAAGGAGGAATGCTCACTAACAGGGATGTAAACAAATTTGTTCACAAAATTTGAGAAATAAGCTCTCAGCGATATGACGTAGATGCAGAAAGCAAACAGCATAGTGTGCACGATGCTCAACTTCTCTGCTGTTTTGGTGCCCTGGCTAACCAAGCTGTAACAGCGTGAAGTGAACCAGTGCACATGCGCAGATACTGTGAGTGACTGTGTGAGAGTCATGCATCTCGCTCATCTCAATATCTGTGGCGCTGCTCGTGGCAACGTCCTTTCGCTGAGTCTAGCTGAATTTTTTGTTTGCAGACGGCACACACACACAGCCTAATTGTAGCCTAAGACTTACCTATCGGTACATACGGTAGCTACTTATTAGGCCTACATAAGACAAAATGTCAAAAAGTCTGCAGTACAGCAGCATTTCATTGTTGTAAAGGATTACGCCAAATAAAATGGAATGCAAACTAATAACGAATATGACAAACCACTTGAACAGTAAGTTTGCCTACTTTGTTATTCTTCTGGTTATCTTAATCTTTGGCTCCCGAGTTATTTGTGTGCCTTAATTATTTCATCAAACAGCATCAGACAAGCTCAGTACATATAGTTTATTATAAAAAAAACACATAGGGTGTGTCTATGGACAAATATGTTAAAAAATGTACACCAATCGATTGGTTGGGGACAGCCCTATTGCACACACACACACACCTTCAAGCTCTTCTCATCTTTGACACGTAGATCCTTGCCATTGGGCACCAGGGTGAAGATGGGACCAGACTTGCCCTCCTCTTCTTTGCCCTTACCCAAGGGCTTCTTCCCAGCAACAGCCTGGAGAGAGGTGGGGGATATAGGTTCAAAGGAGCATCAGAGCGATGGAGGACTGGAAATTGACCCTTATCAAATGAATGAGGGAATGGGGGGGAGGGGTAGATGAGAACAGTGACCAATTAGGCAAGAATGCACCAGATAAGCAGCGTTGTGAATCACCTCTAACGCCGTGTGCCTGGAAAAAGAGATGGGTGAGAGTGGTGTAGACTTGGACCAAAGGTAGTCCCTAGAGAAGAAACACAGCTAAGCCCAATTTTTACACCTCAATTTGTGTGCGATTCCGTTAATGGCAGTGTGTTTGCCATAAAAAGAAAACACTGTGCGTGTCATCAACTGGAAAAGAAACGTGCATGTCATCAACAGTAGCAGATAGTCCGAGTCCCCTTCCAAGTGCATTTCCTTTCAGGCAGAGGCCTGAGGTAACTGCTGTTTACGGTTCTTTCCCCTGGCTGAGCCTTTAGCTTGACTGGCACTAGGCTCCTTGTCCAGACTGGTGTTAATGCCCCCGTTGGAGCTCCTGCTGCTGTTTATGCTGGAGTTCAGCTCCTGAGACCTCCACTAGCCACACAAAACACCAGGGTCGTGTTCATTTGGCATGAAACGGAACAAAACTGATAGACGGAGGGAGCACCTGTACTTGTAGTTCAACAAACGCTTGCTTTCAGTTGGTTTTGCTACGGCATGCCCTAATAAACAGTCCGTTTCAATCACACGGATTGTAAATAAACCCCTCCATTCTGGATGACCACAGTCTTAAGTGACTGATTCATCAAAGAAAAGTTAAATTGTTCTGAATTCGCCTGTAGATTATTAATAATTTTATCTGTGATCAATATAAAACGAGCACACTGCCTAGGTGGTCTTCATCAAAGGGAGAATTAAAGTGAAACTTTGGCACGTTCTAGCACCATGATCCAACTATCTGAGCCATGAGGTACAGTACATGTAACACAAATTTGGATATTGGTGAAGCTCCTATTGAGATGCAGGAAAACACGAGAACAGCTTTGACTCACTAACCTTTCCTTTGGCTGGTAGTGCCCCTGGTTTGACTTTCTTTGGGTCGGCTTTGGGTTCGGCGACTGCAGAGTCTTCAATGGGAGCCTGGGTTTTGCTCAGAGCTGAGGGGATGCGACGGAGAGAAACATGGATTTTAAGAACACAGGCTTTTCGTACAAAAATATGGCATGTTTGTTAGAGATGCCTATGGGTCAGGACACAACTTGAGTTGGTTTGCTTTTAGTGTTAGCGATGCTAGCTATATTTGAGGTCAGGATTGAAGAAATGAAAGCGAATCAATTTCTACTTATTGCTCAGGGATGGCCAACATCAATGCTAGAGGGCCACATCAGGACTTAGTAATTCAACTGTAGGGGAGCATAAAAAAAATTAACAATCACATAATCCACCGCGGCCGCATTTTGTCTGCCTGTTGGCCCTCCCTGGATATATAATGCCTTTAGTAGTGCTGTATGTGAACCCACCTGCAAGGGCTTTGGCTGGGGGGACGCTGGCAACAGGCATGGTGGGGGCAGCTTTAGCAGGACCAGCTGATTTAGCAGGCATCACAGCCCTGGCCTTGTCCAGCATGGCAACCACCTGGTCCTTAGAGGCAGGCTAGACAAGAAATCGATTCATTTCTCATGTTCTATTTCAATTAACTTCAAGACAGTGTTTATTGCAAGCATATTGGGAGTGGATTAAAAGATACAGGTAACAGCCAAAATAAAGGAAACACCAACATAAAGTGTCTTGAAAGGGTTTTGTGCCACCACGAACCACCAGAACAGCTTCAATGTGCATTGGCATAGATTCTACAAGTGTCATTCTCGATGAGAAATTCCATAATTTTGGTGTTTTGTTGATGGAAAACACAGTTTTAGGGCTGGGCGATATAGCCTAAAAATCTTAATAAAAACAAAAAACTTATGGGTGATTCACAATATATATCCTGATTTTGTAAAAATGTTTCCTAAATAAGCGTTGTACAATTAAAGGTCAAATACACTGCATTTCAAAACAGACAGCAATAATCTAATGCATTCATGGCTTGTGAAGTTATACCTAGGTTAAATATAAGCTTTCTACAACCATAAGACCCCCTATTCATTTAATTATTTTATCAAAATAGTTTACCTTGCTTTTTTTGTTGTTGCAATAAAATCACTGATCTGGCTTTCAAGTCTGTCTATAAAAATGCACTTTCTTTGTTAAAAATGTAACTAGAACCATGCATAATGCACATTCACTGATAATGACTAACTTCTTATAGCAGGCATTAGGCTATAGAAAATTAACACAGATCTAAACAACCTCTCAAGCCCACGTGCTAGTGATTAGCCAGCTAATCTTTATATTTCAAGTTTAGCCAACTTGGATCTATTTGCTAGCTAACAAGGTTGAACAGTGGAATTGTTATGAACACACCCTTCTGTCTCCAACTGTTTGAAAGCATATTAGCCTTTCCACTTGTTCAGATGTTGAAATCAAGTGGCCTACCTTATTTCTCAGAATGAGAACGAGATGCCAATTCCTTATATAATTGTGTTTTATGCTTATTGCACATTTATAAAAACAGACTAGACAGCTAGTATAACAGTCTTTCGCTAAAATGCTGCTAGTGGTACCTGGTACCACAATGCAGCACGCGACAAACTGAGCATTCATTTTCAGGAATCAATGTTAATTGATACTATCTTTTTAGTAGTGTCTGCTCTGCGCACAATTTGAGAAGTTGAGACATAAAAAGGGTATAGTTTGAAAAGTGAACTTCTCTATATCAGTTAAATAATGTCTCAATGTGTTTGTGTCCATATTGCCGATTCTGTTGGACCAAACCTCAAATGCAAATTGCGAGTTGAAACCACTTGCCAGAGAGGAACTTTGTTAGAGTGAGAGACAAGGGGAGGGGCTTGGGGTGTGTGTGTAAGCCATAGAGGAAGAGGCATATGTCCAAAATAAGGCCAATGTGTTTCTATGGGCTTATTTTGGACCTAAGCTTGTCGCCTGCCTTTCCGTTTTTGGGACAACAATTCCCATTGTTAGAGCGGAGACGTACATCTCGTCATTATATACAGATCTCTGGTGTAAATGGGGAAGGTACACACAGCGCAGAGAAGTGAAGCAGACGAGACCAAAAATACAACTAGAACAAGCGGAAAAACGCTCATAAAAACATAAAATAACAAACCTTGATTCTTGCAATACAGGCATTTGGAATATCTCGTAAAGACATTAATTTGAAATATCGCCCAGCCCTACGCCGTTTCAGGTGCCGCTCCAGAATCTCCCATAAGTGTTCAATTGGGTTGAGATCTGGTGACAGACTGCCATGGCATATGGTTTACATCATTTTCATGCTCATCAAACCATTCAGTGAGCACTCATGCCCTGTGGATGGGGGCATTTTCATCCTGGAAGAGACCACTCCCATCAGCACAGGAAATGATTCACCATAGGTTGAAGATGATCACTCACAATAGCTGTGTATTTATTGGCGTTTACCCTGCCCTCTAAGGGGTTGAGTGGACCTAAACCATGCCAGGAAAATGCACAGTAGATTAAAAACAAGGTATGCACAGTAGCTCTCCTTAGTCCCCTACCTTCAGTTTGCCTGTGGCCTTGTTCATCTTGTCGAAGCCCAGGTGCATCATGAAGACAGGCAGGGCATCCTGGGCTCGCTTCCTTACGTCAACGTTGCGGTCCTCCAGGCAGCCGAACAGGGGGGGTACACACAGCATGAGGTCGGAGGGCACTGAGCGCATGGTGGGCAGATGCACTGCCAGCCAGCCAAGCACCTAGGGAGGGACGAGCGGGAGATTGAACCAGGTGTCACCCAAGCCATAAAATTAGAGCGTTTGGCCAATTTTTATAACAGACTATTTTAGAGGGCGCCTCTGACCATTCCCTTTGAAATGACCTGCAGCAAATAAGAAATACAGGGCCACAAATGTAACAGTTATACTGATATCATGATAATGTGTATCCAAGTCTTCAATCACAAACCCTATCCATAACAACCCCCCTCCCCACACACACCTCCTGTCTGAGGAAAGGGTTCTCCCTCTTCAGCTCTTCAGACAGCTCTTCTCCCTCCAGCCACTCCTTCATACCAGTCTGCTCCACCCAGGAGTTCAGGGTGGCCATGGCTGCAGCACGCACTGTGTTCTGAGGAAAGTCCGTGAGAAGTGTGTGGGTTTGACAATAAGTTTGTGCGCGTTTCAGTCTATGATAGAGAGATGGGGTGTTTGTGACGTGTGTGTGTACCTTAATATCCCCCAGCACAGTGATGACTGGTATGCCCAGGGTCTTGACATGCTGTTTGAGGGACGGGCCCATGGCAGTGGCCATCTGCTGCATGATCGACAGGGTCTGCTGGACCTGAAACAGAGAGACACATACGAGGTGATCACATATACAGTCATGGCCAAAATTGTTGGCACCCCTGAAATTTTTCCAGAAAATGAAGTATTTCTCACAGAAAAGTATTGAAATTACACATGTTTTGCTATGCACATGTTTATTTCCTTTGTGTGTATTGGAATAACACAAAAAAAACAGGAAAAAAGCAAATTTGACATAATTTCACACAAAACTCAAAAAATGGGCCGGACAAAATGATTGGCACCCTTAACTTAATATTTAGTTGCACACCCTTTGGAAAAAATAACTGAAATCAGTCGCTTCCTATAACCATCAATAAGCTTCTTACACCTCTCACCCGGAATTTTGGACCACTCTTCTTTTGCAAACTGCTCCAGGTCTCTCATATTGGATGGGTGCCTTTTCCCAACAGCAATTTTAAGATCTCTCCACAGGTGTTCAATGGGATTAAGATCTGGACTCATTGCTGGCCACTTCAGAACTCTCCAGCGCTTTGTTGCCATCCATTTCTGGGTGCTTTTTGAAGTATGTTTGGGGTCATTGTCCTGCTGGAAGACCCATGATCTCGGACGCAAACCCAGCTTTCTGACACTGGGCCCTACATTGCGACCCAAAATCCTTTGGTAATCCTCAGATTTCATGATGCCTTGCACACAGTCAAGGCACCCAGTGCCAGAGGCAGCAAAACAACCCCAAAACATCTTTGAACCTCCACCATATTTGACTGTAGGTACTGTGTTCTTTTCTTTGAAGGCTTCATTACATTTTCGGTAAACAGTAGAACGATGTGCTTTACCAAAAAGCTCTATCTTGGTCTCATCTGTCCATAAGACGTTCTCCCAGAAGGAATTTGGCTTACTCATGTACATTTTGGCAAACTGTAGTCTTGCTTTTTTATGTCTCTGTGTCAGCAGTGGGGTCCTCCTGGGTCTCCTGCCATAGCGTTTCATTTCATTCAAATTTCGACGTATAGTTCGCGCTGACACTGATGCACCCTGAGCCTGCAGGACAGCTTGAATTTCTTTGGAACTTGTTTGGGGCTGCTTATCCACCATCCGGACTATCCTGCGTTGCAACCTTTCATCAATTTTTCTCTTCCGTCCACGTCCAGGGAGATTAGCTACAGTGCCATGGGTTGCAAACTTCTTGATCATGTTGCGCACTGTGGACAAAGGAACATCTAGATCTCTGGAGATGGACTTGTAACCTTGAGATTGTTGATATTTTTCCACAATTTTGGTTCTCAAGTCCTCAGACAGTTCTCTTTTCCTCTTTCTGTTCTCCATGCTTAGTGTGGCACACACAGAAACACAATGCAAAGACTGAGTCAACTTCTCTCCTTTTTATCTGCTTTCAGGTGTGATTTTTAGATTGCCCACACCTGTTACTTGCCCCAGGTGAGTTTAAAGGAGCATCACATGCTTGGAACAAACTTATTTATCCACAATTTTGAAAGGGTGCCAATAACTTTGTCCGGCCCATTTTTTTAGTTTTGTGTGAAATTATGTCAAATTTGCTTTTTTCCTGTTTTTTTTTGTGTTATTCCAATACACACAAAGGAAATAAACATGTGCATAGCAAAACATGTGTAATTTCAATACTTTTCTGTGAGAAATACTTCATTTTCTGGAAAAATTTCAGGGGTGCCAACAATTTTGGCCATGACTGTATGTAGAATCACTTAACTGGTCACATGATGATCACATCAAGGCAGTAATGACAAAGCACTGAAGAATCACTGTTCCTGTGTCAATTCGGGAGACGTGGAAATGACAGTCCCAGCTCCGACAGTACTATTTTATTAAAAATGTTGTACACATGTCTGACATGCAATTTATACCGGTGCGATTAATAATCCACATATAGGCCTAAGCGACGGTACGGTAGTCGTCCCGCATCTCTGAAATGTAAACCCACCTAAACATTCACTCACATTTAGAGAAACACACTCAGGATGTAACACTCACCAGGATCTTGTTGGAGTCGGTGAGGCGTCCCTTCAGTGTGATGGGCAGGTCTCCCAAACTGGGCTTGATGAACTTGGCCTCGGAGAGTACTGCAGCCACCTCATTCAAACCTTCCTTACGGATCTTCCAGTTCTTATCGCCCACCTTCGACACCATGTCCTCTGTGATCTTATCACTACAGCGAAAGAGAAAACTGAGGTGTTAGAAGAGCCATTTCTTTGACCATGATGAAATGCATCCAGTTCTTTCAGTTCTCATCTAAGCACTGATCTGACCAGATTGGATTTGTGAAAGCAATACAGTACAAATGCCAGCACATTACTTTAACCTCAGAACAATGGCTGCCTGAAGGATAATACCGCTGACAGTCTTGGTATCATTCTACCCGGGAAGTTTTCTATTTTTATGTTTGCTTAACAGAAAAAAACTCAGGTGCACCACCTAATTTTAGATGGGGGCGTCCAGTGTGATGCTAACCCATAGAGTTAAAGGGTACACGTGAGGTTTTGGATAAAGGGAGATAGCCCTCAATTGTGCTGCCCGTGCACTCACAGAAGCAGCCATTGCAAAGCTTGAGATAAGCTCTTTAGTACAGTGTTTCCCAACCCTCTCATCAGGAACCACCAGATGTTTCACATTTTTGTTGCAGCCTTAAACTGGCACACCTGATTCAAATTAGTCTACTAATCATCATCCCCTTGACTAATAAATCCGGTCTGACCGAATTTAAGGCAGCAACAAAAATGTGAAAGGTGAAACGTCTGGTGGCCCCTGAGGAGAGGGTTGGGAAGTACTGCTCTAGTACACGGTTTTGCCAAACTCGGTCCTGGGGCCCCCCCCTGGTGCATGTTTAGTATTGTTGCCCTAGCACTACACAGCCGATTCAAATAACCAACTCATCATCAACCCCTTGACTAATTGAATCAGAAGGGCCAGTTAAGCACTTAATCAAAAAGGTGAAAAGTCTGGTGGTCCCCAGAGGAGAGGGTTTGGAAGTACAGCTCTAGTACATCTACAGTACCAGTCAAAAGTTTGAATATACCTACTCATTCCAGAGTTTTTCTTTATTTTTAAAATTTTCTACACTGTAGATTAATAGTGAAGACATCAAAACTATGAAATAACACATATGGAATCATGTAGTAACCAAAAAAAAAAAGTTAAACAAAACAAAATAGATTTTATGTGAGATTCTTCAAAGTATCCACCCTTTGCCTTGATGACAGTTTGCACATTCTTGGCATTCTCTCAACCAGCTTCATGAGGTAGTCACCTGGAATGCATTTCAATTTGTGGAATTTATTTCCTTCTTAATGCATTTGAGCCAATCAGTTGTGTTGTGACAAGGTGGGGGGGGGGGGGGGGGCAAGAACAGATCAAATAAGCAAAAAGAACAACAGTCCAGCATTACTTTAAAACATGGTCAGTCAATCTGAAACTGGCTCTCATGAGGACTGCCACATCAAAGGAAGACCCAGAGTTACCTCTGCTGCAGAGGATCAGTTCATTAGCCTCAGAAATTGCAGCCCAAATAAATACTTCAGAGTTCAGGTAACAGACACATCAACTGTTCAGAGGAGACTGCGTAAATCAGGCCTTCATGGTCAAATTGCTGCAAAGAAACCACTACTAAAGGACACCAATAAGAAGAAGAGACTTGCTTGGGCCAAGAAACACGCGCATTGGACATTAGACCGGTGGAAATCTGTCCTTTGGACTGATTTTTGGTTCCAACAGCCATGTCTTTGTGAGATGCAGAGTAGGTGAAAGGATGATCTCTGCATGTGTGGTTCCCACCGTGAAGCATGGAGGAGGTGGTGTGATGGTGCTTTGCTGGTGACACGGTCTCTGATTTATTTAGAATTCAAGGCACACTTAACCAGCATGGCTACCACAGCATTCTGCAGCAATACGCCATCCCATCTGGTTTGTGCTTAGTGGGACTATCATTTGTTTTTCAACAGGACAATGACCCAACACACCTCCAGGCTGTGTAAGGGCTATTTGACCAAGGAGGGAAAGTGATTGAGTGCTGCAACAGATGACCTGGCCTCCACAATCACCCAACCTCAACCCAATTGAAATGGTTTGGGATGAGTTGGACCGCAGAGTGAAGGAAAAGAAGCCAACAAGTGCTCAGCATATGTGGGAACTCCTTCAAGACTGTTGGAAAAGCATTCCAGGTGAAGCTGGTTGAGAGAATGCCAAGAGTGTGCAAAGCTGTCATCAAGGCAAAGGGTGGCTACTTTGAAGAATCTAAAATATATTTTGATTTGTTTAACACTTTTTTGGTTACTACATGATTCCATATGTGTTATTTCATAGTTTTGATGTGTTCACTATTATTCTACAATGTAGAAAATAGTAAAAATAAAGAAAAACCATGGAATGAGTAGGTGTGTCCAAACTTTTGACTGGTACTGTATGTGCTAACCTGATATCAGTGCGAGGCAGGAAGTCCATGATGTCACCGGCACTCCCCTCTTCCTCCTGTTCCTTGGACTCTTCTCCCTCCTCCTGCCCACCTGTCCTTTTGGTGGACCCTCTAGTGGGGGAAGGGGGAGTCTGGCCCTGCATCTGTGACACAGCAGAACCAAGATGAGTCAATCACAGAGTCAATATGGAAACAAAGTTACGCCTGGCAACAATGTCAAAGAAAAAACAAACAAGTAAGCATTCTTGCACTGATAATATTTAATGTGAAATTCATTTATAGGCATTTAAGAGGCCATAATCCAATTATTTCACAATAGGTTACTTACTTCACAATTAGAAAAGTATTTGATCGAAAGGCACATTATTTGGTAGCTACATTTAAGGATAGATACATCAACATACTAGGTACTCCAAGTGTCAAGTCAGCTTGAGAGAGATTTATGAAGATGTGTCAACTAAAATCCTACCTTGTCAAACTCTGTGTCGATTTGAGCGAGCAGGGCAGCCTTCTCGTCCTCAAAGAACATACGCAGTGAGGCGCCCATGTACAGGTACATCATCCCCAGCAGAGAGATGGCTGCTGTTCGTATAGCCTGGTAGAAACACACGTTAAAAAGGCAGAGACTCATTAGTTTCTTCACCGTTATTTAAATAACTACACCAGTCAAATTGTCAACCAATCCATCTACCACAGAGCTCTATAAGAGCAAGGAATGAAGACCCAGAAATGTCAATCTAAGGAAACATAGCAAAGTACAAATGTTTTTAACCATAATGCATACAAGCTGACTGACAAATTCCAAATAGCAGCAGACAAATAAAGCCAGACACTCAACAAATAGATATTAGCTCGAGCAGCAGTAACACTCACAGGATTGGAGGCACCCAAAGCAGTCTTGATGTGTTTGATAAAAGCTTTCACATTGATTCTGGAAAAGGAGAGGACATGCTTGATTGATTCAATACCAATTATTGAGACAAGAAAGCGCTGACAACACTCCAATGGAATATAAGACCTGACCTGTGTGATGATAACTTACCCTGTGAAGCCAAATTCCTTCATGGCATTGGCCAGCCAATTCAGTGTCTCAGCTTGGTTTTTCGGGTTCTTCTGGGCAAAGGCCAATGACACAACCTGGAGTGGTCAGAGTGGTTAGTGGATTGTCTGCAGTTTGGTTCACAATAAAGTAAATCAATGGTGTCAGGTAATCTCAGTGAGAAAAAAACAAAAACAATCGACAAACTGCACCAGTGGGTAACAATGTGATATCCAAGGAATGTTCACACGCATCCTTCCCTCCTTTCTTTAAGTAATAACTGAACAAAACAAAAGCACATTTTGAAGCAAGCCATGGGTTCCAGTTCAACTACTTGGCATTGACAGACCTGGACTTGTACAATACATTAATTTTCCTTTACAGTTGCAAACCGTTTTCTGTTGTGTTCCCTAATGAACATGACCCTGGCCATGTTCAGTGTATCCAGTCTGTTACCTGTTCAGAAATCCAGGACAAAGAGCAGGCCTCTCCTATGGCCGTCAGGGCGTCCTTGGCCTTCCCTCCACACTTGACATCTCCCACTTTCTCCACCAGGGCATCCAGCACCACAGAGGCAGACGTCTTAGAGAACCTGCCCCTCTGGGCCACCACTGCCACCACCTGGAGCTTTAGCTGCATCACCTGGAGGCATGTCACAACACTGAACATTTTGTAGGCTGTTTAAGCACACTTCAACCAACTAATTTTAAATACAGTATGCAGGTGAAATCATCCTGTTGACATGTTTGGACACAGTTGATATTGTGACTCTATTATAAAATAGTTTGTTTTGCTCGCCTGCAGTTGGTCTTATCACTAGACCATTAAATAGCATCTTTCATTGGCAAGAGGCACCATCAACTATTATAGAGACCCAAAACATTTAGGCAGAAATCTACTCTCTCTGGACAACCCCCAGTTGAATGTGGTAGGTATGTTAGGTACCTGGAAGTTGGTCTCCTTCCAGCCAGGTTTCTTGGCCAGCAGGCGGACCAGAGCCTGACAGGGCATCTCACTGATGTCCATTTGCTCCGCAACCTGGAGGCGAGAGGTTAGAACAGATGGGTTAGCATCATGTACTCATACAGGATGACTTTGAATGTGTAACGCCTGGTGTGTGTCTCAATTAAGCATTAAGGGTGTGGTATATGGCCAATATACTGTACACCACGGCTAAGGGCTGTTCTTGTAACAACTCAGTGGCCTTGTGGGTAGAGTGTCCACCCTGAGATTAGAAGGTTGGGAGTTCGATCCAGAGTCATTGCAAAGATAGTAAAAATGGGATCCAATTAGGGTTGAATAGCAGGAACCGGGTTACTGAGATTTCCCGCCCAAACCCACTACCATTTCCCAGGATAAATATATTTGAGATCCAGTAAATTATTTCTATGAACATCATGACGTGAAATGGTACTTAAAATGTTGTGCTGGCTTCTCTACAGCCTTCTCTCTGCTATTTGCATGATTAATCAGGGAGGGGACAGACAGAGCATCTCCATAGGGAGCACAGTTCACAATGCATCATGGCAAAAACAATCTGTGATAGGTAGGCCTACATTTGCTGCAGCATAGCCTATGCAACAGTAATATAAGGCCAAATTTACACATCTCTATCTGGCTTTCGGGGGTCACCTTATTTATTATAAAGATTTTTAAGCTGCAATGTGTCACTATTTCGGCGACCTGACCAAATTCATATAGAAATGTGAGTTATAGATCTGTCATTCTCATTTAAAGCAAGTCTAAGAGGGGGTAGATACAGTTGAAGTCGGAAGTTTACATACACTTAGGTTGGAGTCATTAAAACTCGTTTTTCAACCACTCCACAAATTTCTTGGTAACAAACTATAGTTTTGGCAAGTTGGTTAGGACATCTACTTTGTGCATGACACAAGTACTTTTTCCAACAATTGTTTACAGACAGATTATTTCACTTATAATTCACTGTATCACAATTCCAGTGGGTCAGAAGTTTACATACAATAAATTGACTGTGCCTTTAAACAGCTTGGAAAATTCCAGAAAATAATGTCATGGCTTTAGAAGCTTCTGGTAGGCTAATTGACATCATTTCAGTCAATTGGAGGTGTACCTGTGTATGTATTTCAAGGCCTACCTTCAAACTCAGTGCCTCTTTGGTTGACATCATGAGAAAATCAAAAGAAATCAGCCAAGATCTCAGAAAAACAATTGTACACCTCCACAAGTCTGGTTCATCCTTGGGAGCAATTTCCAAATGCCTGAAGGTATCACGTTCATCTGTACAAACAATAGTACGCCAGTATAAACACCATGGGACCACGCAGCCGTCATACCGCTCAGGAAGGAGACAAGTTCTATCTCCTAGAGATGAACATACTTTGGTGCGAAAAGTGCAAATCAATCCCAGAACAACAGCAAAGGACCTTGTGAAAATGCTGGAGGAAACAGGTACAAAAGTATCTACATCCACAGTAAAACACATCCTATATCAACATAACCTGAAAGGCTGCTCAGCAAGGAAGAAGCCACTGCTCCAAAACCGCCATAAAAAAGCCTGACTACGGTTTGCAACTGCACATGGGGACAAAGATTGTACTTTTTGGAGAAATGTCCTCTGGTCTGATGAAACAAACATAGAACTGTTTGGCCATAATGACAATCGTTATGTTTGGAGGAAAAAGGGGAGGCTTGCATGCCGAAGAACACCATCCCAACCATGAAGCAAAGGGGTGGCAGCATCAAGCTGTGGGGGTGCTTTGCTGCAGGAAGGACTGGTGCACTTCACAAAATAGATGGCATCATGAGGAAGGAAAATTATGTGAATATATTGAAGTAACATCTCAAGACATCAGTCAGGAAGTTAAAGCTTGGTCGCAAATGGGTCTTCCAAATGGATAATGACCCTAAGCATACTTCCAAAGATGTGGCAAAATGGCTTAAGGACAACATAGTCAAGGTATTGGAGTGGCCATCACAAAGCCCTGACCTCAATCCTATAGAAAATGTGTGGGCAGAGCTGAAAAAGCGTGTGCGAGCAAGGAGGCCTACAAACCTGACTCAGTTACACCAGCTCTGTCAGGAGGAATGGGCCAAAATTCACCAAATTTATTGTGGGAAGCTTGTGGAATGCTACCCGATACGTTTTACCCAAGTTAAACAATGTAAAGGCAATGCTACCAAATACTAATTGAGTGTATGTAAACTTCTGACCCACTGGGAATGTGATGAAAGAAATAAAAGCTGAAATAAATCATTCTCTACTATTATTCTGACATTTCACATTCTTAAAATAAAGTGGTGGTCCTAACTGACCTAAGACAGGGAATTTTTATTAGGATTAAATGTCAGAAATTGTGAAAAATTGAGTTTAAATGTATTTGGCTAAGGTGTATGTAAACTTCCGACTTCAACTGTATGTTCTGTGTGTGCTATATTTCAAATGCTTCCCCTGCTTTAGTTTCATTTTTGCGTCTTACTTTCGGTTTTGTACACCAGCTTGAAAACAGCTGAAAACACAATATTTTTGGGATGCCTAAATGGTCCTAAAATAAAAAATCAAATAGCTAAACGATCCATGGTATGACCTTAAAACAATTCCATATGTCAGCTTAAAACTGCATCTGCAGTTTAAAGATGCACTATGCAGAAATCCCTCCGCCATTTCCTGGTTGCTAAACTTCTAATAGTTTGCCTAATTTCAGTTCTTGTGACAAAACTAGCAAGTATTTTTATTAGGATTAAATGTTAGAAATTGTGAAAAATTGAGTTTAAATGTATTTGGCTAAGGTGTATGTAAACTTCCGACTTCAACTGTATGTTCTGTGTGTGCTATATTTCAAATGCTTCCCCTGCTTAAGTTTCATTTTTGCGTCTTACTTTCGGTTTTGTACACCAGCTTGAAAACAGCTGAAAACACAATATTTTCAGTTATGGGAAAGATATTTCACATCGGTTTAGATTGTACAATGACTGCACTATACTTGCTAGTTTTGTTACAAGAACTGAAATTAGGCAAACTATTAGAAGTTTAGCAACCAGGAAATGGCGGAGGGATTTCTGCATAGTGCATCTTTAAACTGCAGATGCAGTTTTAAGCTGACATATGGAATTGTTTTAAGGTCATACCATGGATCATTTAGCTATTTGATTTTTTATTTTAGGACCCTTTAGGCATCCCAAAAATGTTTTGGGATAAAATATTCAATTTGGCCTTTATTACTGTAGCCCATAGAAACGCATTGAATAACATATTCAAAAATGGCAAAAAAAACAAAGTGTAAAAAAAATCTATAAAATAAAAATACTTCTTGGCCCTAGGACAGACACTTCAAAACATGATTTTCTTACTGCCATTTATGAATGTGTCTGTCCTAGGCACAATAAGTATTATGTATGTTTTAACATATTTAACCCCTTATTTTTGTTGGCACAAAACGACTTCCATTCATTTGTATGGGTTACCTTCAGACAAGTCCCGTGACACTTGTGGGGGTCGTAGAGCAAAACGGAGAACACCATCGTGAGAGTCTTCCGTATAGAGTGGTAGGCCAAACCGTTCGAAGCTACAGACGTTTTTGTGAGAAGACACATTTTCGGGACACCTCCTGGTCTGACAAACAGCGCTGTAGCTCTGCCACTTTCCACCGCAGATGCAGCGACATAGGCGGATGCGGTGGATTGAGACGGAGCCCATACAAAAAAATACATTTTAGCTTAAACTGACGGATTTTGATGGCTATTTTTGTATAATGTTACTAAGATTGACGCACTGGTGCGTCAGACTCTAGGGGGTTAATATATGGATCATCGGACTTATGTAGCATCACGCTTTCATTTTCATGACGGTCAAAGCTCTAATCAAATCCAGACATACACTGAACAAAAATATAAACACAACATGTAAAGTGTTGGTCCCATGTTTCATGAGTTGAAATACGCACCAAAAGCTTATTTATCTAAAATGTTGTGCACAAATTTGTTTCCATCCCTATTAAGTGAGCATTTCTCCTTTGCCAAGATAATACATCCACCTAACAGGTGTGGCATATCAAGAAGCTAATTAAACAGCATGATCATTACACAGGTGCACCTTGTGCTGGGCACAAAAGGCCACTAATATTAGCAATTTTGTCACAACACAATCCCACAGATGTCTCAAGTTGAGGGAGCGTGCAATTGGCAGGCTGATTGCAGTAATGTCCACCAGAGCTGTTGCCAGATAATTTAAAGTTCATTTTAAGCCGCATCCAACACCGTTTTAGAGAATTTGGCAGCATGTCCAACCGGCTTCACAACCGCAGACCACGTGTATTACATACACTTTTGCTGATGTCAACATTGTGAAGAGTGCCGCATGGTGGCGGTGGGGTTATGTATGGCCAGGCATAAGCCATTGACAACGAACACAATTGAATTTCATCAATGGCAATTTGAGTGCACAGAGATACCGTGATGAGAACCTGAGGCCCATTGTCGTGCCATTCATCCGCCGCCATCACCTCATGTTTCAGCATGATAATGCATTTTCCACCGCAGATGCAGCGACATAGGCGGATGCGGTGGATTGAGACGGAGCTCATACAAAAAAATACATTTTAGCTTAAACTGATGGATTTTGATGGGTATTTTTGTATCATGTTACTAAGATTGTCGCTAGGATCTGTACCGAATTCCTGGAAGCTGAAAATGTCCCAGTTCTTCCATGGCCTGCATACAGACCAGACTTGTCACCCAATGAGCAAGTTTGGGATGCTCTGGATCGACGGAGCGTTCCAGTTCCTACCAATATCCAGCAACTTCGCACAGCCATTGAAGAGTGGGACAACATTTCAAAGGCCACAATCAACAGCCTGATTAACTCTATACGAAGGAGATGTGTCGCGCTGCATGAGTCAAATGGTGGTACCACCTAGGGCTGTTACAGTGACCGTATTACCACTACACCGGCAGTCAAGAGTCATGACCCCAGTCAAATTCCACGTGACCGTTTAGTCACGGTAACTAGGCTTCTACAAGCTCTGATGCTATTGATGGTCATTAGTAGCCTACAAAACTTGCTAACAGCCTTGTACAAAGCACTAATTTTTGTCCCTCTAATCACTCTGACATCAATGCAGATGTTATCGAAAATCTAAATCAAATCACTTCATGAGAGCCCTTGAGCTCATGTTGAGCAACATTTCTATAGGCTATGCAATTGCACGAGAAAACAGTTTTGGATGGCCTCTATTAAAAAAAAGAGGATCCCATCAACTTTCTATAAGCTAGGCCTACTACCTTTATTTCTCAACTTCCCTAATATTAAGCACACTGCTTCGCTTTACAACAGGAGTATAGCCTACCTGGCCAGCATGAATATTAACCACGGGCAAAGTGTCCTCTATTCACTATTTTGTTCCCCTGCCCCTGTTCTGAGACAGCGGCATGATAATGGTCTACTTTAAATCAAAACTGATTTCACACATATATTACTTAGTATATGTAAAGACAAGATTAAATCAAGAATCGTCTGATGGGTCACAATATTAGCCTATGACTTGTGAATGATGCCCAGCTTGTATGCAGTAAGGCAAGAAACGGCGCATGCCTTTTATTTTTTTATCATAAACCCAACACCTCATGTTGCCTAGCCCAAAGGCTTATATGTTTTGATAAGGTTTGTATCACAACTAAAGTGGCCAAATTACTTCTAAAATGGAAGCACATTACCCGCTTTACAACCGGTGTAGAGCCTAACTGGCAGACATAGGCGGAGCGCGAGTTTCATGTTTGGTTAAGATCATTTTCACCATAAAATGCACCTTTATAATAAAGCATTACATGCATAAAATCGCTTTTGTGGTCACTTTGAGAATGGCGTTTTCCCGCTAATTGATTGTATTATGGAACATTAGCTCTTGTAGTCTACTGCTGCGTGCGCATTGCTGCACTTACGTGAAGAAATAGCCTAATAGTTTATCAACATTTAAGCTAAACATTCTGATCTATTGCATTACATTTACATTACATTTTTGTCATTTAGCAGACACTCTTATCCAGAGCGACTTACAGGAGCAATTAGGGTTAAGTGCCTTGCTTAAGGGCACATAGACAGATTTTTCACCTAGTCAGCTTGGGGATTAGAACCAGCGACCTTTCGGTTACTGGCACAACGCTCTTACCCACTAAGCTACCTGCATCAGCTTCATTGCTTTTTTGATGCGAGTGGTTGTATTAATTTAGGGATATATCACATCCCACAACTGTCCCAGAGTATGTTTGGAATATTTATTTCTCGTACAGAAGGACAAGTTGACCAATAGAATAGGTCAACTTTTGTACTATGGGGGATAGTAGATTGACATAGGCTAGTGCTTTTGCTGTTCGTTAGGCCTACTCATCTTGTTGGCTGACGAAAAGTAAAATGTGGACAGTTCTAACATCTTCAATATGAACCTCGGAATTTGATAAGGACGCACTTAGTTGCGTCCCCGATGTGTCAGTCTTCACTTTTAGCCTTCTTCGGAGCTGAGATAGATGCCTGTGAGAAGAACCTGATCATGTGACGGGCATTGGCTACTAAGAATTGAGATATCTGAGGGAGCCATGTGAGTGAGAGGCGCTTCGGAAAATGCAGCCGGGAGAAGGGAATTATTATTTTCAGCCCAAGGGCACAACGGCCACTGGCCGCAAAAGGCATGGATTTTTTAAAAGGGCATTACAGCCACACTAGGGGGATGCCACTGGGAAATTCGAGGCATTATCAAGTGCTTGTCAAATTGTGAATGAGACTGATGAAGTACGTGGAAGAAACAAAGCAGAGCTCATGCCTTTCATGCAACTTTTTTCAAATAATCACTAGTCGCATCATGCAGCCTTAGAATGTATTGAAAATCCAAACATATAGCCCAACGTTTGTATCACAACTAAAATTGCATACATAACTCTAAATTAAGCATATAGGAGGACTTGTTTTTTTGTTAACCGCTCACAGAATCGCCGCATGTACGCACTACCTCAAATCGTAATGAGAAAACATTATTTCTATTTTATTTAGCTGTTTAATTGTATTATTTTATTTACATTTTAGTCATTTAGCAGACACTCTTATCCAGAGCGACTTACAGTTAGTGAGTGCATACATTTTTCATCCTTCGTACTATAAAATAATGCCACGGAATTCTAAGCCAATATTGTCTGCTAAATTAACTAGTGTAGCCCACAGCTATATGGCATAGCCGGATCAGGGCCTAACATAAGGACAACTCAGAGTATGCTATTCCGTTCTTCTGAAATAGACTACATTTTCTTCATATGTTTCTTTAGACCTGTCTAAAATAATGGATTTATTGTGATGGTGTAGGCTATATTAAAAGGATTTATTAGACTTTTTAATGTTCCAAAGGTCTGTAGGCTATGGGTGGAAGCCAGGAGACGCTAAATGTGTTTATTTTATTTTGTATTTTATTTAACTAGGCAAGTCAGTTAAGAACACATTCTTATTAACAATGACGGACTACACCGGCCAAACCCGGACGACACTGGGCCAATTGTGCGCCGCCCTATGGGACTCCCAATCACGGCCGGTTGTGATACAGCCTGGAATCGAACCAGGGGGCCTCAAGCAGTGAGATGCAGTGCCTTAGACCGCTGCGCCACTCGGGAGCCCACTATTTATGTTAATTAATAGTAAATTACCTTGAAATCAGCATTTATTTGCTTGACAATCACCGGCTGACAAAATTTCATGACCGGCAAAACCCTAGTCACATCAGATACTGAGTGATTTTCTGATCCACGCCCTTACCTTTTAAGGTATGTGTATTCCCAGTCATGTGAAATCCATAGATTAGAGCCTAATTAATTGATTTCAATTGACTGATTTCCTTATATGAACTGTAACTCAGTAAAATATTTGTATATATATTTATATGCTTTAGAAGAATGACACTTTGGGTTTGGGCGGGAAATACCGGGGTACCCAGGAGAAATGGGATTTATTCTCGGGATGGAACATTTGTAAAATACCAGGAAAATATTCAACCCTAGACCTGATGACACTCAGCATTAAGGAGATAGATTGGGGGTAAGGCCCTGCGATAGATCAGCGTCCTGTCCAGGTGGTGTACTTGTACGTCTAGCTGCCTCACGATACAGAAACAGGCGATATGCTCCTGCTCCTATGAGCCATTCCTACTCTCACACAAGCCAAGGCTGGTGCAAGGCTACTCAAGGGCTGTTCTTAGGCAGACTTTTGCTGCGAGAACGAATGTTGTAAGAGAGTAGATGTAGAAACAACGACGAGAAAGTGAATACATAAATACTGCTGACCTTGTAAAATTCTTCCATGCTGGCCAGCCTCTCCTTCCAGTTGGAGCTGTCCAGCATCTTCACACAGGAGGCAGGCAGCACCGCTGCGGCCAGCTCATCACACACCTCCACCTGAGAACACAGTTAATACGTACTTTTGACCTGAGCCGTATCAAATGACACCCTATTCCAGAGCTAAATATTAGTGCACTATAGGGGGAATGGGCTGTCATTTGAGACTTGTATCTATTTAATATTGAGTAATTTATTGATGACTATATAGACACTTAAGATGTGAGTACTCACCGAGAGCTCAGTCTCCATGATCTCTTTGGTTTCGGCAGGCTTCTTACTATTGGCTCCTGGTCCTCCTGCTGCCCCAGGCTTCCCTTTCTTAGCAACGCTAACATCCTAGACAACAGATCAAACCAGATTTTTGAACAAACAGATCCTTGTATTTTTATAACACATTAGGGAAACATTTTTAAAACGTATATTGAGAGCAATTTTAAAAAACAGGAAAACCACAATCCAGCCTTTAGCCATGACCAAACACTGGCTGCAACCCACCATTGAGGAGCCACTGCTGTAGAATAAAACAGCATAGATGACCACATAGATGCTTTGGGAGTCAGCAGAGATTACATTGTCCCACACTGCATTCATTGCACTAATATTACCAGCAGGTTGTCCATATGTCCAGCTTCAACATTAAACCCCCCACCTATCATGGTTTTGACCAAAGCCTTTTAATGAAGAGGAGACCCTACAAGCATCTCAGCTCTGTGCTTAGCTAAAGAAACACTGTCCCTGGGGCTCTAGGTACTCTGTGGTCACTGGTTTAGTGGATCACACAAGAACGTGTTGAAAAGCATTAATGCAAATACCTCCTAGCGTCTTTCCCATGGATTGTTCACTGGTTTTCAAGCTCTATTGGTTAGAGTGAAAAACAAGCTGCTCTACTGTACTGTATATAGTCAAAATGATTACAATGAACTTTAAAAAGTTAAAGTTCAATTGAACCCCTCTAAAGACACATTGAAACATTTTGTGCAACAAACCTGACAAGGACCACCATGGCATGCAAACACACTACGGAGAGACAAAACATACAATAAGAGTCACGCCCTCTCACCTTAGACACAGGGGCCTTTTTAGGGGGCCTTGAGGGTTTGGCTGGGGCCTCGGACTGTGGCTGCGCCTTGGAACCAAGTTTCACTTTCTCCGCTCCTCTTCCCTTCTTTCCTTCAGCCAGCTCCACATTGTCTGCACTTTCTTTAATCTTTGAGAGGAAAATAGCATTAAGAAAACACACTTGGATTTTATCCATCTGAGCAACAAGATGGCCTGAGGGCAACAACAATGACATATCTCTAAAACAAAGATAACAAATCAGAAATATGTCAACAATACTAACACTATATATTTCCATAAGAAACTCGCTCTGAAAGCACTGCAACAGCTATTTTATTTGAAGTTGAATAAAGGCAGGTAGGAAGTGACCAAAAGCAGGGATCCAGAGTGATTATTTTGCTTAATGTTTTAATTGGGTGCGTCAGTGTGAGCTGCAAATTCTAGTTGGTCACTTCACTCAAAACGTTATATTTTTGGGGTGGCTAAAACTATGATTTGGTCAAACAGTAGCCTTCAGTGCAATAATATTCTGACTTCTGCATGAAAGTGTCTGGTCTGCCCCTGTGCCAGTTTCTCCCTGTGCGCTCAGAGTAGAAAATATATATACAGTGTGTGCAAATGTAGCAAGTTATGGAGGTAAGGCAATAAATAGGCTATAGTGCAAAATAATTACAATTAGTATTAACACTGGAATGCTAGATGTGCAAGAGATTATGTGCAAATAGAGATACTGGGGTGCAAAAGAGCAAAATAAATAACAGTATAGGGATGAGGTAGTTGGGTGGCTAATTTCAGATGGGCTGAGTACAGGTGCAGTGATCGGTAAGGTGCTCTGACAACTGATGCTTAAAGTTATTGAGGGAGATAAGAGTCTCCAGCTTCAGAGATTTTTGCAATTCGTTCCAGTCATTGGCAGCAGAGAACTGGAAGGAATGGCGGCCAAAGGAGGTGTTGGCTTTGGGGATGACCAGTGAGATATACCTGCTGGAGCGCAGACTACGGGTGGGTGCTGCTATGGTGACCAATGAGCTAAGATGAGGCGGGGATTTGCCTAGCAGTGATTTATAGATGGCCTGGAGCCAGTGGGTTTGACGACGAACATGTAGTGAGGACCAGCCAACAAGAGCATACAGGTCACAGTGGTGGGTAGTGTATGGGGCTTTGGAGACAAAACGGATTGGACTGTGATAGACTACATCCAATTTGCTGAGTTGAGTGTTGGAGGCTATTTTGTAAATGACATCGCCGAAGTCAAGGATCAGTAGGATAGTCAGTTTTACGAGGGCATGTTTCGCAGCATGAGTGAAGGAGGCTTTGTTGTGAAATACGAAGCCGATTCTAGATTTAACTTTGGATTGGAGATTCTTAATGTGAGTCTGGAAGGAGAGTTCACAGTCTAACCAGACACCTAGGTATTTGTAGTTGTCCACATACTGTAGGTCAGACCCGTCGAGAGTAGTGATTCTAGTCGGGTGGGCGGGTGCCAGCAGCGTTCGATTGAAGAGCATGCATTTAGTTTTAAACCAAAGTATCTGGTGGCTTTGAGATATACGGAGCGCAGGAAGCATGAGTCTGTTTTTAGGACATAAAATGTACTGTTAGATTAATAAATTACATGGCTAACAAGCAACATATTATATTTAGTGATCTAGCTAATGTGTATTGTGTCTCAACTTCCCCAGATGGTGAACTAGCCCCAACTTTTGTACAAAAAAGTTAAGTAAATTCATCTCTATTGAACAAAAGAAATCTGCGATTCTGGAGCCCTACTTTGAGATTAAAATATATCAACAATAGCCTAATTGTCAACCCAGAAATGTATGACAATCACTGGTTTAGGTTGCACATCAGAATAAATTGATCACGCATTCCTGCTTGTTTAAATCAACTTATTTCTTAATAATAATAATAATAATAAGCCATTTAGCAGACGCTTTTATCCAAAGCGACTTACAGTCATGCGTGCATGCATTTTTGTGTATGGGTGGTCTCGGGGATCGAACCCACTACCCTGAATCATACCGTCTCAGTAGCACAGTGAATAACATCGTAAAATTAATGCCCTTTTATTAAGTGACGCAGCATCAATTTTGGTGCGGCCAAATCATGGGCTGGTGCCACCATCTGAAAATGTTAGTGGCACCAGAGGAAAAAGTTTGGAGCCCTGAAAAGTGTAAAACCATTTATCCATACTAGCAGTGGAGATAATAGTGCCTTCAGAAATAATTCAGACCCCTTGACTTTTTACACATTTTGTTACGTTACAGCCTTATTCTAAAATATATTAAATATTTTTCTCAGCAATCTACACACAATACCCCATAATGATAAAGCGAAAATAGGTTTAGACATTTTTGCAAATGTATTACATAAAAAACAGAAATACCTTATTTACAAAAGTATTCAGACCCTTTGCTATGAGACTCGAAATTGAGCTCAGATGCATCCTGCTTCCAATGACCGTCCTTGAGATGTTTCTACAACTTGGTGTCCACCTGTGGTAAATTCGATTGATTGGACATGATTTTGAAAGGCACATACAGTGAGGGAAAAAACTATTTGATCCCCTGCTGATTTTGTACGTTTGCCCAATGACAAAGAAATGATCATTCTACAATTTTTATGGTAGGTTTATTTGAACAGTGAAACAGAATAACAAAAAAATCCAGAAAAACACATGTCAAAAATGTTATGAATTGATTTGCATTTTAAATTAGGGAAATAAGTATTTGACCCCTCTGCAAAACATGACTTAGTACTTGGTGGAAAAACCCTTGTTGGCAATCACAGAGGTCAGACGTTTCTTGTAGTTGGCCACCAGGTTTGCACACATCTCAGGAGGGATTTTGTCCAACTCCTCTTTGCTGATCTTCTCCAAGTCATTAAGGTTGAGGCTGACGTTTGACAACTCGAACCTTCAGCTCCCTCGAAAGATTTTGTATGGGATTAAGGTCTGGAGACTGGCTAGGACACTCCAGGACCTTAATGTGCTTCTTCTTGAGCCACTCCTTTGTTGCCTTGGCCGTGTGTTTTGGGTCATTGTCATGCTGGAATACCCATCCACGACCCATTTTCAATGCCTTGGCTGAGGGAAGGAGGTTCTCACCCAAGATTTGAAGGTACATGGCCCCGTCCATCGTCCCTTTGATGCGGTGAAGTTGTCCTGTACCCTTAGCAGAAAAACACCCCCAAAGCATAATGTTTCCACCTCCATGTTTGACGGTGGGGATGGTGTTCTTGGGGTCATAGGCAGCATTCCTCCTCCTCCAAACACGGCGAGTTGAGTTGATGCCAAAGAGCTCAATTTTGGTCTCATCTGACCACAACACTTTCACCCAGTTCTCCTCTGAATCATTCAGATGTTCATTGGCAAACTTCAGAGGGGCATGTATATATGTGCTTTCTTGAGAATAAACCTACCATTAAATTGATAGACTGATCATTTCTTTGTCAGTGGGCAAACGTACAAAATCAGCAGGGGATCAAATACTTTTTTCCCCTCACTGTACCTGTCTATATAAGGTCTCACAGTTAACAGTGCATGTCAGAGCAAAAAGCAAGCCATGACGTCAAAGGAATTGTCCATAAAGCTCCGAGACAGGATTGTGTTGAAGCACAGATCTAGGGAAGGGTACCAAATAATTTCTGCAGCATTGAAGGTCCCCAAGAACACATTGGCCACCATCATTCTTAAATGGAAGAAGTTTGGAACCACCAAGACTCTTCCTAGAGCTGGCCGCCCGGCCAAACTGAGCCATTGGGGAAGAAGGTCCTTGGTCAGGGAGGTGACCAAGAACTCGATGGTCACTCTGACAGAGCTCCTCTGTGGAGATGGGAGAACCTTCCAGAAGGACAACCATCTCTGCAGCACTCCACCAATCAGGCCTTTATGGTAGAGTGGCCAGACGGAAGCCACTCCTCAGTAAAAGGCACATGACAGCCTGCTTGGAGTTTGCCAAAATGCACCTAGACTCTCAGACCATGACAAACAAGATTAAACTCTTTGGCCTGAATGCCAAGCATCACGTCTGGAGGAAACCTGGCACCATCCCTACCGTGAGGCACGTGGTGGCAGCATCATGCTGTGGGGATGTTTTTCAGCTGCAGGGACTGGGAGACTAGTCAGGATCGAGGCAAAGATGAACGGAGCAAAGTACAGAGAGATCCTTGATGAAAACCTGCTCCAGAGCGCTCAGGACATCAGACTGGGGCAAAGGTTCACCTTTCCAACAGGACAACAACCCTAAGCACACAGCCATGACAATGCAGGAGTGGCTTTGGGACAAGTCTCTGAATGTCCTTGAGTGGCCCAGCCAGAGCCCGGACTTGAAACCGATCAAACATCTCTGGAGAGACCTGTAAATAGCTGTGCAGCGACGCTCCCCATCCAACCTGACAGAGCTTGAGAGGATCTGCAGAGAACAAATGGGAGAAACTCACCAAATACAGGTGTGCCATGCTTGTAGCGTGATACCCAAGAAGACTCGCGGCTGTAATCGCTGCAAAAAGGTGCTTCAACAAAGTACTGAGTAAAGGGTCTGAATACTTATGTAAATGTGATGATATTTCAATTTTTTTATTTGTAATACTTTGTCATTATGGGGTAATGTGTGTAGATTGATGAGGGAAAAAAAGAATTTAATCAATTTTAGAATAAGCTGTAACGTAACAAAATGTGGAAAAAGTCAAGGGGTCTGAATACTTTCCAAAGGCAATGTGTGTGAGTGAGTGAGTGAGTGAGTGAGTGAGTGAGTGAGTGAGTGAGTGAGTGAGTGAGTGCGAGCAGGTGTGTGTGTGTGTGTATATACACACATACACAGCTCTGGAAAAAATTAAGAGACCACAGCAAACGTTTACGTTTCTCTGGTTTTACTATTTATAGGTATGTGTTTGGGTGAAATTAACATTTTTGTTTTGTTCTATAAACTACTGACAACATTTATCCCAAATTCCAAATAAAAATATTGTCATTTAGAGCATTTATTTGCAGAAAATGAAAACTGGTCAAAATAACAAAAATGATAGTGTTGTTAGACCTCGAATAATGCCAATATATTAAGTTCATGTTCATTTTTAAACAACACAATACTAATGTTTTAACTTAGGAAGAGTTCAGAAATCAATATTTGGTGGAATAACCCTGCGTCTTGGCATGCTCTCAACCAGCCTTTCACATTGATGTTGGGTGACTTTATGCCACTCCTGGCGCAAAAATTCAAGCAGCTCGGCTTTGTTTGATGGCTTGTGACCATCCATCTTCCTCTTGATCACATTCCAGAAGTTTACAATGGGGTTCAGGTCTGGAGATTGGGTTGGCCATGACAGGGTCTTGATCTGGTGGTCCTCCATCCACACCTTAATTGACCTGGCTGTGTGGCATGGCGCATTGTCCTGCTGGAAAAAACAATCCTCAGAGTTGGGGAACAATGTCAGAGCAAAAGGAAGCACGTTTTCGTCCAGGACAACCTTGTACGTGGCTTGATTCATGCATCCTTCACAAATACGAATCTGCCTGATTCCAGCATTGCTGAAGGACCCCCAGATCATCGATCCTCCACCAAATCTCACAGTGGGTGCGAGACACTGTGGCTTGTAGGCCACTCCAGGTCTCCGTCTAACCATTAGACTACCAGGTGTTAGGCAAAGCTGAAAATTGGACTCCTCAGAGAATATCACCTTACTCCAGTCCTCTACGGTCCAATCCTTATGGTCTTTTGCAAACCTCAGCCTGGGTCTTCTTTGCTTCTCATTGATGAAGGGCTTTTTTCTAGCTTTGCACGACTTCAGCCCTGCCCCTAGGAGCCTGTTTCGAGCCGTCCTCGCCATACACTTCATCCCAGCTGCCGTTTGCCATTCTTTTTGTAGGTCACTCGATGTCATCCTACAGTTGTTGAGTGACATTCGAATGAGTTGGCGGTCATCCCGGTCAGTAGAGTCGTTTTCGCCCTCTGCCGGTCTGTAGCTTTGTTGTCCCCAATGTCTGCTGCTTGACCTTGTTCTTATGAACCGCCGTCTTTGAAATTTTAAGGATGGAAGCAACCTGACGCTCACTGTATCTCTCTGCCAGTAAAGACAGAATTGAACCCTTCTTTTCCTACCTCGAAACTTTCCTTTTCAACCCTTTTGGCATGGTCAATAGTTATTTTTTGATTAATATTCCATTTGAGGTACTATTAGCACTGTTTTGCCATCCTCCTGGTCCTATTGCAAGAGGACAGTGATGACCACAGCAGTGGTTTTTATACTTTTCCTCGTTAAATAACATTTGGTTCAGGTGATCACCTAATCAGTACCTAATTCAGTAGAATGAGGTGTGCCTTTGTTGGAATTCAACAGACACTGGAATGGAAGTCATACATGTAGAGATGGTGATTGAAGAAAAATGTGCAGTGGTCTCTTAATTTTTACTAGAGCCAGCCAGCATATGCATGCATGCATGCATGCATGCATGCATACATACATGCATACATGCATACATGCATACATGCATACATACATGCATACATGCATACATGCATACATACATACATATTACCACCTCCAGCATCTTTTAATTTAGTCTGCATCTCACAAATGTTCTTCTTTGTGATCCGACCACCTCAAACTTCGATTCGTCTGTCCCGGAGTCGCCTCTTCACTGTTGACGTTGAGACTGGTGTTTTGCGGGTACTATTTAATGAAGCTGTCAGTTGAGGACCTGTGAGGCATCGGTTTCTCAAACTAGACACTAATGTATTTGTCCTCTTGCTCAGTTGTGCACCGGGGCCTCCCACTCCTCTTTCTATTTTGGTTAGAGCCAGTTTACGCTGTTCTGTGAAGGGAGTAGTACACAGCGTTGTACGAGATCTTCATTTTCTTGGCAATTTCTCGCATGGAATAGCCTTCATTTCTCAGAACAAGAATAGACTGACGAGTTTCAGAAGAAAGTTATTGTTTCTGTCCATTTTGAGCCTGTAATCGAACCCACAATTGCTGATGCTCCAGATACTCAACTCGTCTCAAGAAGGCCTGTTTTATTGCTTCTTTAAAATCAGCACAACAGTTTTCAGCTGTGCTAACATAATTGCAAAAGGGTTTTCTAATGATCAATTAGCCTTTTAAAATGATAAACTTGGTTTAGCAAACACAACGTGCCATTGAAACACAGGACTGATGGTTGTTGATAATGGGCCTCTGTACGCCTATGTAGATATTCCATAAAAAATCTGCCGTTTCCAGCTACAAGACATTTACAACATGAATAATGTCTACACTGTATTTCTGATCAATTTGATGTTATTTTAAATGGACAACAAAATTGCTTTTCTTTTGAAAACAAGGAAATGTCAAAGTGACCGCAAACTTTTGAACGGTAGTGTATACACACACACACACACACACACACACACACACACCCTCACCTTGTCAAGCTTGAGTTTGTCGAGGTCTGCCAGGAAGGGGTTAACAGCCTTCTCTCCCGCCACCTTCATGGCCGTGCCTAGAGCCTCGAACGCAGCATCTCTCACCTCTGGGGCAGGGTCATTCACTTGCTGCCATGAAGAAGAAACAACCAACAATATGTCATACATTCAGACAGAGCCATATCCATATTCAAATGGGGATTTATAGAAATAAGTGTAAAATAAGTATTTTACGATATACCAGTATTGATGCACTGACTGGTTTGGGTTTTTACTTTACCTTCTATAACGGTATTTGAATGTTTGGTTTGTTAAAATGGGATACGCGGTGTGTAACGTCCATTTTTATAGTTTACTTCACTACTCGAGTCATCTCTCTCCGCTCCCACCATGCCGCTTTCCACACAGACCTAGCCCCGCCCCGTCACTCAAGGAGCGCATTTGTTGTTCCTCGACCACGAGACTTGTGTTCAGTCTGGTCAATGAAGCACATGCAACAATGTTGATGACAACAATGCTTTATTCACTTTGCTTCTTAATGTAAATCCACTAGCGTTCTATAATTACACTATTAGTTCGTGTTTCTTACATCTGCAAACAGCTAGTATGTATTTTCTTAGCAAGTCGGACCTAAATTGTGTTAGCCACTAATACTAATTGCTAGCTAGCTAATAAACGTACTGAGTCAGAGCAAACGTAATTAGCTATACAGCCTGATAATATCAGTGATGGTGTAGACCTAAATCTGCATGTTTGTGCAAGAGTATCTTCTAAATCAAAGAGGAATACACGAAGCATGAATATGTTACCGATATGAAGTAGCTAAGAGAAAACATTGAATGTAGCCAAAGATTATAGGCTCACCTAGGTTCGTACCCTGTCACAATAACTCCTCCATGGCATTTTCATTCATTGTCATGTCAAACACTGAATTCAAAGTAATAATCATTCTATTTCCATGATTCCAACAATTCACCCAAGTGTAAATATAAGGCCTATATTGTTTGCCCATATCATGCAGTCCTACGTGGCAGTGTGGAAATCATCTCAAATGAGTGCAGGAAATGCAGAAATAAATTATTTTTGGTTGAAGTTTAATTGAACAGTATAAAACAATCAGAATGTAGAAAGACCCATTGAAACCACTTAGAATGTATGCGTTGCCACCCTAGGGTCACAAACTACTCAAAGCAAATTTAGAACTTGTATATACACACCTTTAAATATATATATATATATATATATATATATATATATATATATATATATATATATATATATATATATATATATATATATATATATATACATATATATATATATATATACATATATATATACACACACACACACAGTGGGGGAAAAAAAGTATTTAGTCAGCCACCAATTGTGCAAGTTCTCCCACTTAAAAAGATGAGAGAGGCCTGTAATTTTCATCATAGGTACACGTCAACTATGACAGACAAAATTAGGAAAAATGAATTTATTTGCAAATTATGGTGGAAAATAAGTATTTGGTCAATAACAAAAGTTTCTCAATACTTTGTTATATACCCTTTGTTGGCAATGACACAGGTCAAACGTTTTCTGTAAGTCTTCACAAGGTTCTCATCTGACCATATGACATTCTCCCAATCCCCTTCTGGATCATCCAAATGCACTCTAGCAAACTTCAGACGGGCCTGGACATGTACTGGTTTAAGCAGGGGGACACGTCTGGCACTGCAGGATTTGAGTCCCTGGCGGCGTAGTGTGTTACTGATGGTAGGCTTTGTTACTTTGGTCCCAGCTCTCTGCAGGTAATTCACTAGGTCCCCCCGTGTGGTTCTGGGATTTTTGCTCACCGTTCTTGTGATCATTTTGACCCCACAGGGTGAGATCTTGCGTGGAGCCCCAGATCGAGGGAGATTATCAGTGGTCTTGTATGTCTTCCATTTCCTAATAATTGCTCCCACAGTTGATTTCTTCAAACCAAGCTGCTTACCTATTGCAGATTCAGTCTTCCCAGCCTGGTACAGGTCTACAATTTTGTTTCTGGTGTCCTTTGACAGCTCTTTGGTCTTGGCCATAGTGGAGTTTGGAGTGTGACTTTGAGGTTGTGGACAGGTGTATTTTATACTGATAACAAGTTCAAACAGGTGCCATTAATACAGGTAACGAGTGGAGGACAGAGGAGTCTCTTAAAGAAGAAGTTACAGGTCTGTGAGAGCCAGAAATCTTGCTTGTTTGTAGGTGACCAAATGCTTATTTTCCACCATAATTTGCAAATAAATTCATAAAAAATCCTACAATGTGATTATCTGGATTTTTTTTCTCAATTTGTCTGTCATAGTTGACGTGTACCTATGATGAAAATTACAGGCCTCTCTCATCTTTTTATATGGGAGAACTTGCACAATTGGTGGCTGACTAAATACTTTTTTTCCCCACTGGGTGTATAATACTTCACCCGACCGACCAATAACCTTTATTTTGTGAACATTTGTCATGTTTAACTCTGATCATTGCGTGTTTACAAAATATTTTCCCCCAGTGGACATGTACAGTTAGAAGCCTATAGGATGGTTGAGATCAGACCAACCTTGATCAGGGCAACACAGAGGGGTTTGAGCAGGCTCTTGGGCAGGGTGGAGGGGGTCGAGAGACGGATACTCCTGGCCAGGAACAGAGAGGCCTGCTGCTTGATGGACGGGTTCTTGTTGTCCATCACGGCCAGCATGTCCTCGCTCAGGTTCTGGAGAGTGGTCTGGGGGGGGAGAACAAACTAGGCCATTACCCTGTTTTTCTATTTTACTTTTTTGTTGTTGTTACCATTCAACAATTTGTTGTGGATAAAGTGAAAAAAAGATATGAAAGATATGCTGGCTTGTTTGTCATCTTGGAAATCACACAAATTACCCTTGGCCAACTTCAGACCCATGCAAAAAGCAAATATCTTCACTCTTACCACTGTCCATCAATCAAGGGTGGATTTGCTCCTCTAATGGAGTCTTGAATTACGTTTGACTAAATAAACATCTATCCACATTAAAAAGCTGTAGTAAATTCTAAGTGAAGGAAATGCAGTAATAGGTGTACATGCCCACAGATAATCACATGCATTGACCATCTAGACTAGCATACACCTGCTTCTCAAATGGCAACTATAGAAAGGAAACAGGAACTATTGATTAGCACAAGGCCTATACAAAGGACTGAAGAGAGCTGCTAAATAAACAGATATTTCACCTTATTAACAGTAAATTACACATTGTGTTGAGATCCACGGCCAAAGAGATACTGCATTGACACAGATTTAAAGTGCATTGCAAGCTATGAGCCAAAAGGATCATCAGTGGGAATAAAATTGGCCTACTCACTGTCAGGAAGACTGCATTGATGGCCTCTTGCAGGGACTGGACCACAGCAGGTTTCTTCTCCTTAAATTTGTCCAAAATAGTTGGCACCACCTTGAGGAAAATAAACATTTTAAATAACCAAATCAGTCAAAATTGGAGATTAGCAAACAGTTTCCATTGTAGAAGAGTCTTGCACAATAAAGCAATAATCTTAAGTATCTCTAGTTTCTCAGTCACTGTCTAAAGGGAGAACTTACCTGGCCAGCATACGTCCCAAACTTCTTCCTGAGACCAGAGGCCAATCCAGCCAGGCATTTTGCAGCTAGAGACACCAGCATGACATTTGTGTCTTTACCAATGACCTACAATAGGCAAACAGAGTTTAAGTGGCTATTCAGTGCACTGTACACATACTGTAACTTCACTCACTCAGAGTTAACCAAAGAGTTGCCTACCCTTTTGAGTGCTCGAACCACATCTCCATAGTCTCCATTATCCAGTTTGGGGTGTTTAGCCAACTTCTCCAAGGCTTCCAGGGCCTCTTTCCTCTCCTGCCATTTCTTTGCCTCCTGCAGTGACAGAGAGAGGGAGGCTCAGCCACAGGCCCAATACACAACAATGACAAATAGAGTATCGGCTCTATAGCTTTAGTTTATTGTGTAAGCTCTTATCTTAGCAGGAAAGATTAGATTTTATGAAGACAGGCAGTGTCCGAAATGTCTTGTTTACTACAACTAAATTACATACTGTGTACTACTACATATTATTTAGAATGTACTGTTTAGTAAACATTTATGCAGTAAGCAACACATATGGTAATGTTATCACTGTTTGAACCCATGGATTTGCAGCAATCGGAATACCGGGTGGGTACTCCCACTCCTTTCTATTCTGGTTAGAGCCAGTTTGCACTGTTCTGTGAAGGGAGTAGTACACAGCGTTGTATGAGATTTTCAGTTTCTTGGCAATTTCTCGCACGGAATAGCCTTCATTTCTCAGAACAAGAACAGACTGACGAGTTTCAGAAGAAAGTTCTTGGTTTCTGGCCATTTTGATCGTGTAATTGAACCCACAATTGCTGATGCTCCAGATACTCAACTCGTCTCAAGAAGGCCTGTTTTATTGCTTCTTTAAATCAGCACAACAGTTTTCAGCTGTGCTAACATAATTGCAAAAGGGTTTTCTTATGATCAATTAGCCTTTTAAAATGATACAATTGGATTAGCAAACACAACATGCCATTGGAACACAGGACTGATGGTTGCTGATAATGGGCCTCTGTACGCCTACGTAGATATTCCATTAAAAATCTGCCGTTTCCAGCTACAATACACATTTACAACATTAACCATGTCTACACTGTATTTCTGATCAATTTGATATAATTTTAAAATGGACAAAAAAAATTGCTTTACTTTCAAAAACAAGGACATTTCTAAGTGACCCCAAACTTCTGAACGGTAGTGTACATGAAACAAAACAGCTGGACAGTGTGCTGTCTCTAGATGCCGAGAATGATTTTGACAGGCTTGAATGGCAGTACTTGTGGTCTTGGATTAATTTGGTTTGGGAAATAATTTTATCGATATGGTTTCTGTTATATGCTAACCCTGTTGCTATGGTTTTTACTAAATGGCATACACTCAAGTCCATTCCCTATTTTTCGGGGATGTAGACAAGGAGACTGCCTATCCCCAAAGTTTTTCATTTTGTCGCTAGAGCCTTCAGCACAACATCTAAGGCAGAATGTAATTTCTTCTCCTATACTGATTAAATCTTCCTCTAATATCACCATGAGTGAGTCACTCAGCTTTATGCTGACAAATCCTCGCTGGATTCTTTCATTACGTTTCTTCTTCACATCAGCAAAGAAGGACTCGGTGTTTCAGAAACTCACTTTATATAGAGGGGCTATCAGTCTTTCACACTGTGGTAAATTAAGCCAGTTTGTTATTTAGAATGATTTATGTTTTTAGAGGGAGAGAAACCAAAAGCCCACGTGCCTATTTTTCAAAAATCATCAGTCCACATGTTAGGTAAATACAATGGGGGAATTAAAGCTAAGTTCTCTCTCAACTCCAGGACCACCGCCAGCTACATACACTACTCAAAAAAATAAAGGGAACACTAAAATAACACATCCTAGATCTGAATGAATGAAATAATCTTATTAAATACTATTTTCTTTACATAGTTGAATGTGCTGACAACAAAATCACACAAAAATGATCAATGGAAATCAAATTTATCAACCCATGGAGGTCTGGATTTGGAGTCACCCTCAAAATTAAAGTGGAAAACCACACTACAGGCTGATCCAACTTTGATGTAATGTCGTCAAAATGAGGCTCAGTAGTGTGTGTGGCCTCCACGTGCCTGTATGACCTCCCTACAACGCCTGGGCATGCTCCTGATGAGGTGGCGGATGGTCTCCTGAGGGATCTCCTCCCAGACCTGGACTAAAGCATCCGCCAACTCCTGGACAGTCTGTGGTGCAACGGGGGGTTGGTGGATGGAGCGAGACATGATGTCCCAGATGTGCTAAATTGGAATCAGGTCTGGGGAACGGGCGGGCCATAGCATCAATGCCTTCCTCTTGCAGGAACTGCTGACAAACTCCAGCCACATAAGGTCTAGCATTGTCTTGCATTAGGAGGAACTCAGGGCCAACCGCACCAGCATATGGTCTCACAAGGGGTCTGAGGATCTCATCTCGGTACCTAATGGCAGTCAGGCTACCTCTGGCGAGCACATGGAGGGCTGTGCGGACCCCAAAGAAATGCCACCCCACACCATGACTGACCCACCGCCAAACCGGTCATGCTGGAGGATGTTGCAGGCAGCAGAACGTTCTCCACGGCGTCTCCAGACTCTGTCACGTCTGTCACATGTGCTCAGTGTGAACCTGCTTTCATCTGTAAAGAGCACAGGGCGCCAGTGGCGAATTTGCCAATCTTGGTGTTCTCTGGCAAATGCCAAACGTCCTGCACGGTGTTGGGCTTTAAGTACAACCCCACCTGTGGACGTCGGGCCCTCATACCACCCTCATGGAGTCTGTTTCTGACCGTTTGAGCAGACATGCACATATGTGGCCTGCTGGAGGTCATTTTGCAGTGCTCTGGCAGTGCTCCTCCTGCTCCTCCTTGCACAAAGGCGGACGTAGCAGTCCTGCTGCTGGGTTGTTGCCCTCCTACGGCCTCCTCCACGTCTCCTGATGTACTGGCCTGTCTCCTGGTAGCGCCTCCATGCTCTGGACACTACGCTGACAGACACAGCAAACATTCTTGCCACAGCTCGCATTGATGTGCCATCCTGGATGAGCTGCACTACCTGAGCCACTTGTGTGGGTTGTATACTCCGTCTCATGCTACCACTAGAATGAAAGCACCGCCAGCATTCAAAAGTGACCAAAACATCAGCCAGGAAGCATAGGAACTGAGAAGTGGTCTGTGGTCACCACCTGCAAAACCAGTCCTTTATTGGGGGGTGTCTTGCTAATTGCCTATAATTTCCACCTGTTGTCTATTCCATTTGCACAACAGCATGTGGAATTTATTGTCAATCAGTGTTGCTTCCTAAGTGGACAGTTTGAGTTCACAGAAGTGTGATTGACTTGGAGTTACATTGTGTTGTTTAAGTGATCCCTTTATTTTTTTGAGCAGTGTATATATGTTTTGCCTGATGCAGGACTCTAGTGCCAGAGAAGAGAGACTCAAGGACAAAAAACAATTCCATTAATTTACGAAGACTTGTGCCACAGTTTAGACTACCGATAGATCAGCGCTCTAACTCCCTCTGGTGAAGTGTGGTGCAATGACAGTGACGCAATTTACCACCACCTGCCACTACATTTTACATTACATTACATTTTAGTCATTTAGCAGACGCTCTTATCCAGAGCGACTTACAGTTAGTGAATACATTATTTTTTTTATACTGGCCCCCCGTGGGAATCGAACCCACAACCCTGGCATTGCAAACGCCATGCTCTATCAACTGAGCTACATCCCTGCCGGCCATTCCCTCCCCTACCCTGGACGACGCTGGGCCAATTGTGCGCCGCCCATGTGCCTCCCGGTCGCGGCCGGCTGCGACAGAGCCTGGATTCGAACCAGGATCTCTAGTGGCACAGTTAGCACTGCTAGTGCCTTAGACCACTGCGCCACTCAGGCTCACTACCACAAATGGACGCGGCATAAGCTCGAAACTTTTAAAGGAAGAACCACTGTATACGCAGATATTTTCCTCCTGTATTCAGTGCCTTCGGAAAGTATTCAGAACCCTTGACTTTTTCAACATTTTGTTACGTTACAGCCTTATTCTAAAATTGATTAAATAAAAAAACATCTTCAGCAAACTACACACAGTACCCCACAATGACAAAGTCAAAACCGGCTTTTAGAAATGTTTACATATTTATTAAAAATAAAAAAAACAGAAATGCATACAGTTGAAGTCGGAAGTTTACATACACCTTAGCCAAATACATTTAAACTCAGTTTTACACAATTCCTGACATTTGATCGTAGTAAAAGTTCCCTGTCTTAGGTTAGTTAGGATCACCACTTTATTTTAAGAATGTGAAAATGTCAGAATAATAGCAGAGAGAATGATTTATTTCAGCTTTTATTTCTCATCACATTCCCAGTGGGTCAGAAGTTTACATACACTCAATTAGTATTTGGTAGCATTGTTTAACTTGGGTCAAACGTATTGCGTAGCCTTCCACAAGCGTCCCACAATAAGTTGGGTGAATTTTGGCCCATTCCTCCTGACAGAGCTGGTGTAACTGAGTCAGGTTTGAAGGCCTCCTTGCTCGCACACGCTTTTTCAGTTCTGCCCACAAATGTTCTATAGGATTTAGGTCTGGGCTTTTTGATGGCCACTCCAATACCTTGACTTTGTTGTCCTTAAGCCATTTTGCCATAACTTTGGAAGTATGCTTAGGGTCATTGTCCATTTGGAAGACCCATTTGTGACCAAGCTTTAACTTCCTGACTGATGTCTTAGATTGCTTAAATATATCCACATAATTTTCCTTCCTCATGATGCCATCTATTTTGTGAAGTGCACCAGTCCCTCCTGCAGCAAAGTACCCCCAAAGCATGATACTGCCACCCCCATGCGTCATGGTTGGGATGGTGTTCTTCAGCTTGCATGCTACCCCTTTTTTCTCCAAACATAACGATGGTCATTATGGCCAAACAGTTCTATTTTTGTTTCATCAGACCAGAGGACATTTCTCCAAACCGTAGTCTGGCTTTTTTATGGCTGATTTGGAGCAGTGGCTTCTTTCTTGCTGAGCGGCCTTTCAGGTTGTCGATATAAGACTTGTTTTACTGTGGATATAGATACTTTTGTACCCGTTTCCTCTACCATCTTCACAGGTTCCTTTGCTGTTGTTCTGGGATTGATTTGCACTTTGACAGAACGCGTCTCCTTCCTGAGCGGTATGACTGCTGTGTGGTCCCATGGTGTTTATACTTGCGTACTATTGTTTGTACAGATGAACATTGTACTTTCAGGCGTTTGGAAATTGCTCCAAAGGATGAACCAGGCTTGTGGAGGTCTACAATAATTTTTCTGAGGTCTGGAAATCTTTTGATTTTCCCATGATGTCAAGAAAAAAGAGGCACTGAGTTAGGCCATGAAATACATCCACAGGTACACCTCCAATTGATTCAAATAATGTCAATTAGCCTATCAGAAGCTTCTAAAGACATGACATCATTTTCTGGAATTTTCCAAGCTGTTTAAAAAAGGCACAGTCAACTTAGTTTATGTACACTTCTGACCCACTGGAATTGTGATACAGTGAATTATAAGTGAAATAATCTGTCTGTAAACAATTGTATGTGTCATGCACAAAGTAGATGTCCTAACCAACTTGCCAAAACTATAGTTTCTTTACAAGAAAGTTGTGGAGTGGTTGAAAAACGAGTTAATGACTCCAACCTAAGTGTATGTAAACTTCCGACTTCAACTGTAAGTATTCAGATCCTTTGCTATGCGACACGAAATTGAGCTCAGGTGCATCCTGTTTCCACTGATAATCCTTGAGATGTTTCTACAACTTGATTGGAGTCCACTTGTGGAAAATTCAATAGATTGGGAATGATTTGGAAAGGCACACGCCCGTCTATAAGGTCCCACAGTTGACAGTGCATGTCAGAGCAAAACCAAACCATGAGGTCGAAGGAATTGTGCATAGAGCTCCGAGACAGGATTGTGTCAAGGCACAGATCTGGGGAAGGGTACCAAAGAATTTCTGCAGCATTGAAGGTCCCCAAGAACACAGTGGCCGCCATCATTCTTAAATGGAAGACGTTTGGATCTACCAAGACTCTTCCTAGAGCTGGCCGCCCGGCCAAACTGAGCAATCGGGGGAGAAGGTTCTTGGTCAGGGAGTTGACCAAGAACTCGATGGTCACTCTGACAGAGCTCCTCTGTGGAGATGGGAGAACCTTCCAGAAGGACAACCATCTCTGCAGCACTCCACCAATCAGGCCTTTATGGTAGAGTGGCCAGATGGAAGCCACTCCTCAGTAAAAAAGGCACATGACAGCCTGCTTGGAGTTTGCCAAAAGGCACCTAGACTCTCAGACCATGAGAAACAAGATTCTCTGGTCTGATGAAAACAAGATTCAACTCTTTGGCCTGAATGCCAAGCATCACGTCTGGAGGAAACCTGGAACCATCCCTACCGCGAAGCACGGTGGTGGCAGCGTAATGCTGTGGGGATGTTTTTCAGCTGCAGGGAGACTAGTCAGGATCGAGGCAAAGATGAACGGAGCAAAGTACAGAGAGATCCTTGATGAAAACCTGCTCCAGAGCGCTCAGGACATCAGACTGGGGAAAAGGTTCATCTTCCAACAGGACAACAACCCTAAGCACACAGCCAAGACAACGCAGGAGTGGCTTCGGGACAAGTCTCTGAATGTCCTTGAGTGGCCCAGCCAGAGCCCGGACTTGAACCCGATCAAACATCTCTGGAGAGACCTGTAAATAGCTGTGCAGCAACGCTCCCCATCCAACCTGACAGAGCTTTAGTTTCCTGAGCATGATGATCCCACTCCCTCAACCAGTAGGCTATTGGGGAATGATTGATAAACGAATACGTAAATACCTTTGGAATGGCAAACATCCAAAGATTAGGTTTGAGGTGTTACAATGACAGAAGTGTAATGGTGCCCTTCCTTGCATTACCTTTTTACCACCAGTCTTTCCAGTTACGCCCACTTAGAGCATGGTTTGATCAGTCTACATCAGTCTCTTGGAGAACTATTGAGAAATAACTTGTTTCACCTACTAGATTGCAGGATATGCTATTTTCTGGTATATCTAATAAGAAATCCATGCTATATTTTGGTCCTATTATTTCTAATACAACAGAGAATTTTAGGAAGGTTGAGAAGTGAGTAGGTGGTAACTGGAAATTACTTCCGGTAATAAACCTTTTGAGTCTAGAGCCTGGTCTGGAAAAGGGGTCAATAATCTAGGGGACATATTCAACTTAAAGGCTCTTCTTAGTTTTCAGGAACTTCATCTTGATTTGCAAGGGTCGTCATTCTTTCTATATCTTAGACTACGGTCAGCACTTCGGGCCTATGGGGTCAGCAAACAAAATATAACCGCGCAAACCTTGTGTACTAAGCCGATAATACCGTAAATGCCGGGATGAGAGAAGGACGGTATGACAATATGAAAATCTGGATACCGCCCAACTCTAACGGCCATAGGCACCTTGTAATACATCCAACATGTTCAGTAAGGTAGGTGCTTACAATCTTCTCGTAGAAGTCTTTGGGCAGTTTGGAGAGGATCTCCACTGGGTCCAGAAGCTCATAGGGGTCGACCTGAGGAGCAGAGTCTGCTACGTCCTCACAGTCTCCGTCGGACCCTGCCTCGGCCTGCTGTTCCTCAAACTTGGCCCTCAGGTCCTGCTGGGAGCGTAGGAAACGACTTTGTCTGGGGGCCGACGACGGCACCTTCACCCACTCCTCCTCCAGCTCCTTCAACTGGGGACATATACAACACAGGCAGAGTGGTGCATGCTTGTTTGCAGATACATAGTTACAAAAAAGGGCTATTGTATAAAAACACCACTCCCAACAATTATCAAGTTTGTCAAAAGCAAAAGGGCCTTCACAGGAAAGAAGTCTGAATTCCCCAGCATAGTGAGTAACCAAGACGAAAACTTATTAAAAGGTGCAGTATGCAAAAATCACAATTTCCTGGTTGCTAAAATTCAAAATAGTAGTCATTGAAACAAGTAGTCATTGTGTAGAAAATCCTTACACCATCTAAACCACTGTGAAATGTATTTTCCATAACCAAAAATATTGTATTTTCAGCTGGTGTACAATACCGAAAGTAAGAAGCAAAAACGATACTTAAAACGGGAAACATAAATAGCGCACAGAACAGATCTATAACTAACATTTCTATGTGAATTTGGTCGGGTCGCCTACAAAGTTAAATATTGCAGCTTTAAACACCCCCGGTGCACATTTTGGTTTTTGCACTAGCACTACACAGCTGATTCAAATAAACAACTCTCCATCAAGCTTTGATTATTTGAATTAGCTGTGTAGTGCTAGGGCAAACACCAAAACATGCACCCAGGAGGGGCCCCAGGACTGAGTTTGGGAAACCCTGCCCTACAGCAAAGATGTCCTGAGAGATTCTATCCAAAATACTGTTCAAAGACATCTTAGAAGACTTTCCAATATACAGCGACAACGCTGGTCCACTCTTCGCATTCAGGTAATGATGAAATACCATGTTTTGGATCGACCCTTAACCCTCACCTGTACAGAGTTTATGTTTTGAAGAGGAGATCTTAGTGAGTCCCTGATCCACCTGTAGACCTCCACAGCCAGCAGTTTGGCCTCATCTCGGACTGCCTTTTCTCTGGACTCAAAGAGCTTTGGCAACACTTTAACTATGGGCTTTAGGGTCACAGTCTTGGATCCAAATTCACTGGGGAGGCAGATAAGCATATTAATTAAGTTTCATTTTTGTTTTGAGTTACATTTAAATCAAAGCAGGTTGTACATGCAAGACATGAGCAGGTCTTAATCCCAAAATTGGGCATGTGTGTGTTGTCTTTGGTAAAAGACCCAACATGTCACATCTTCGCAATCATTAACAGTATTTAAAAGTACCAGTATTTAGTACTTATCTAGGATAAGGGAGAAGGACACTTCCTTCTCTACTGCTCCAGCTCTGTCTCACCAGAGTGCTCTGCGTATGGTCTCCACACAAGCGACGACTATTTTCGGGTTCTTGTTCTCTAATCCTTTAATGAGCTCCTCCTGTACAGTGTCGCCTTTCTCAATCTCTATGTACATGAGGCAGATGTCTGAGCCCAGCTCTTTGGCCCGCGCCTTAGGCTGGTTGAATACCTTACACACCACACCTGACACCACCTCACCCACCGTCCTGCAGAGCAACAACAGATAGTAGGTTATACAACAAGAATAGCCAATCTAATGTTCATTCAAACAGGTGGGATTAAGAATCAATTCTCTTTTGCAAGGACTAGGATCCAGGAGTTCTACCTGACCATATGACCAGAAGGAAATAATCCAGGCCATAGGTCTAGTTGGTCAGAAGAAACTCCCGGGGCCGTATCCACAAAGCGTCTCACAGTAGAACATTTGTCAATTTTACTCCTACTCTTATTGGTAAAAATAAAAGCTATGCATGAAGCCTCTTTAGTCATAGCAGTCCTAGTCGACAGATATTTAGGAGACCTCATGAGCTGTCCTAAACAGTTAGAGTTACCAGCAGATGTCGTTATAATAGAAAAAAGGCAGCGAGTCAGCGGTTCCCGCACCATAGACAGGTCATTTCTTTGGAGTTGTTGAAAGTGGAGTTTTGATATTTCTATTTGATTAATTCATAATAATCTAGTCCTACACAATATTTAGTATTCAGCCCATGTCTAACTGTTATATATTTTTTCATCCCCTTACCTAGAAGCCACGTGTGCATTCTCTACATAAGCCAGAACAGCCTCCAGTCCTTTGAGCTGGGCCACTGCGTTTGAGTCAGTCACAAACTTCTTGATGATTCCCTGGTACTTGGCCCATTCTGGACTCTTATCGTCAATCCTCTGGAAGAGCTTCAGGGCCTCCTCATACCCATTCAGCCTGGACTTCCATACCTGGGACAGCAAGGAGGGACAATGAAGGGGTTAAAAGCGGAACAGTGCTAGAGTAACGTTAGCTATATAGCTAATGTTGTTAATTTGCTTTTATGGTGTTTTACCCACAACCAACTGAATTCTACCCTTCAACCTGCATCACAAAAAGGGACCCTACAGGAGCCAAAGTATAACAAATGAGAATCACCTTATGTTCACATTTCTGATCGACTGGTAACTTCATCCAGTCACTGTCATCTCCCATGATGATTTGTGTGGATTCACTTCAAAACGATATAGCCAAGCTAGATACTGTTGAAAGGAGAAAACACTGGCACATATTCATTGCAACAACAAAAATAATTGTGAGGGTCTTAGCTAGAATAGTTAGCTAACATTAGCTAGAAATATTCAGTTCTCTGACCTTGCTAGTATGAAGACGTATCAGACTTGTCTGCATGCACTTTGTCGTTTGACAAAAACTAGCCAGATTCCAACACAGGCCAACAGTTGTAACCAATTAAGTACATTGCCATTGGAAATTAATGTTTAAAGTAGGCTTGGGCGGTATCCAGATTTTCATATCTTCATATCGTCCTTCACGCATCCTAGGATTTACAGTATTAGCAGCATATCACACAAGGGGGCACTAAAAACGCAAGAAAAGCCTCTATTACCTCCAAACAAACTAATTGCAAAGACCGGCAAACCCAGCTCATAACGTTATACAAGCATAGCTAGTAGCTATCGAATGTCATTTTCTGTGAGTGTGGACATTTACAAGCGAAAGTTAACAAGATCAATTGTGATGCACGCTTTTCAGCGGCACGGACTGGGAGACTAGTCAGGATCGAGGGAAAGATGAACGGAGCAAAGTACAGAGAGATCCTTGATGAAAACCTGCTCCAGAGAGCTCAGGACCTCAGACTGGGGTGAATGTTCGCCTTCCAACAGGACAACGATCCTAAGAACACAGCCAAGACAACACAGGAGTGGCTTCTGGACAAGTCTCTGAATGTCCTTGAGTGACCCAGCCAGAGCCCGGACTTGAACCCGATCAAACATCTCTGGAGAGATCTGAAAAATAGTTGTGCAACGACCCTCCCCATCCAACCTGACAGAACTTGAGAGGACCTGCAGAGAAGAATGGGAGAAACTCCCCAAATACAGGTCTGCCAAGAATGTAGCGTCATACCCAAGAAGAGTTGAGTCTGTAATCGCTGCCAAATGTGCTTTAACAAAGTACTGAGTAAAGGGTCTCAACACTTATGTAAAATGTGATATTTCCAATATATATATATATTTTTTTTTATACACATTTGCAAAATTTTCTAAAAACTTTATTTTGCTTTGTCATTATGGGGTACTGTGTGTAGATTGATGAGGGGGGGAAAACAATTTAATCAACTTTAGAATAAAGCTGTAACGTAACAAAATGTGGAAAAAGTCAAGGGGTCTGAATACTTTCCGAATGCACTGTATGTTCAGAGTAAATTGAACTCTCAACATTAATTTCCAATGGCATTGTACTTTATCAGGCAAAAACTGCTGAATGTCAAAAAACGTGCTGCGATTTATTTATTTTGATGATATAGCAGAAAATTGCCAAAACGGGTTTGCCCTGCTTACTAAAAATGGACCCCGGTGGCTGTCAGTAGGCAGGGCAAACCCATGTTGGTGATGGCCAGCAACTTTAAGAGACCTCCCCGAATTACATGCTGACTAGATCGCTCGCATGTTGATTTTGTCCATCCACACCAGGAAACGCAGGTTGAAATATCAAAATGAACTCTGAACCAACTATATTCAATTTGGGGACAGGACGAAAAGCATTAAACATTTATGGCAATTTAGCTACCTTACTGTTTCTAGCTAATTTGTCCTGGGATATAAACATGGGGTTGTTATTTTACCTGAAATGCTAAGTCCTCTACTCCGACAATTAATCCACAGATAAAAGAGTAAACAGAGTTCATTTCTAGGAATCTCTCCTCCGTCAAGCTTCTTCTTTGGACTTTATATGGCGGTTGGCAACTAACTTTAAGGTGCATTATCACCACCAACTGGACTGGAGTGTGGAGCTCAGTTCATCTTTCAATCACCCATGTGGGTATATGCTTCTAAAAACCAATGAGGAGATGGGAGAGGCGGGACTTGCAGCGGGTCAAGCGTCACAAATAGAACGAAGTTCTATTTTAGCAACTGGCTACACAGATGCAAGTTGATGCGCATGAGCAGTGTGGGTGCAATAATTTAATTTTAAATGTTTTACTTAACCTTTATTTAACTAGGCAAGTCAGTTAAGAACAAATTCTTATTTACAATGACGGCCTAACCCGGACGACGCTGGGCCAATTGTGCGCTGCCCTACGGGACTCCCAATCACGTGTAAATTTATTTTGCAACGCTCGCGCACTGTGTGGTCAGCACGTTCGGTTTGAGAAAGACAATTATAGCTGCGTACCATGCACCTCCAATGTATTGAACCGTTGTAGATTTCCAACCTGTGGGTGGCAGTAATAAGTGATTTGGAGGTCCGAATAGCAATTTTTTCGGTTGCGTGTACATTTTGATTTACACCTTTTTTGGAAGTAACGTTACATACCTGCCGTAACGAGAGTAAATAAAGATAGTTTAAGCGAAACGCCATATTTGGTGAGAAACTAACGTATTGACATTTGTAAGTCGGTCTGGATAAGTGCGTCTGCTAAATTATGTAAATGTTAATTACAACGCTTGCAGAGCTGTCTAATGAACAAAAGAAACGGGAGTGTTAACATATAGACTAATGTGTTATAAATTGTGTTCTTACACTGGTACAGTTATGCCCTATGAGAGATGTACAACTGCGCATGTGCGAAAATAAAGAAAGGGCATTCCCGCGTTCTGGTTGAAACACCAACGATGAACATGTGTGTTTATTCCTCCGTTAAGTACGCCGGTATTCCTGTCCTGAAGATGACAGCACCAACAGGTTATGGGCCCAGAAGGGAACATGAAAGCCGATGGAATAGATTATGTTTCGACGGAGATGAAAAAAAAACTACGAGTTATGGGAGACAAAGTTTTTGGGGCACTTGGGTTTGCTAGGGCTAAAGGCCACCATATTGAGCGTGGATGAAGATGAAGAAGACGGAGAGAAAAATGAAGACGCCTACGCCGAATTGATACAGGTTTTGGATGATAAAAGTCTTTCCCTGATAATGAGAAGCAGCAGATGATGGGAGAAAAGCGTTGAAGATATTGAGGGAACATTATGCAGGTAAAGGGAAGCCACGTGTGATTAGCCTCTACACTGAGCTAACTTCTCTTCAGAAAGCTGCTGACAAAAGTGTTACGGATTATATAATTCGTGCTGAGACGGCTATTACAGCACTGAGGAATGCTGAAGAGACTTTAAGTGATGGGCTGTTGATTGCAATGATTCTGAAAAGTTTGCCCGAATCATTTAAGCCGTTTGCCATCCACATAACGCAGAGTGACGAGCCGACAACTTATGGCAAGTTCAAAACCAAGTTGAGGAGCTATGAAAGCACCGAGAAGTTTAGCGCCATTTCCACTGACGACAACGTGATGAAGGCAAGTAACATTAAAGTTAGCTGGCCAAGAGGAAGAGATAAAGGGACCGAGATAACCTGCTTCAACTGTGGCCAGAAAGGGCACAAGGCCCGGGAATGTACCGTTTCTGGAGAGCGCAGAGAACGGAGACAGTGGTGTAGTTTTTGCAAGAGCTCCACTCATACTGACGCAAATTGCAGACGAAAAAGAAGAGACAATGTGAAACAAGATGCTGAAGGCCACACATTTGCATTCAGAATAAGTGACTGTCAGGTTTCTGGACTGAAACAAAAAGGGCTGATGGTTGATACGGGAGCAACGTCACATATAGTCACGGACATCGGGAAGTTTAAGGAGTTTGACGAGACTTTCAAACCGGAAAAACATTCAGTGGAGCTGGCTGACGGAACAAGAACGAATGGTGTCGCGGAGAGGAGAGGTGCAGCGGAGGTTTACCTGAGAGACAACACGGGTCGTCGGGTGAAAACAACGCTGACGAAGGCGCTGACGAAGGCGCTGTACGTGCCGTTGTTTCCACAGGACATTTTCTCTGTTAAAGCAGCGACACCCAACGGAGCTTCAGTCAACTTTCGACAAGGGTGTAACAAGCTCATCCACAAGAACGGTACCACTTTTGACATCGAGGAGTACGATAGACTTTACTATCTTAACACTGTAAGTGATGAAAATGATGATGTCATGGGTGTTATGATATTCACACATGGCACAAAATTCTTGGCCACTGTAATTTTGAGGATGTGTCAAAGTTAGAAAATGTGACAGAGGGAATGAAAATCACAGGTAAGATTGACAAATCTACCCTCAACTGTGAAATCTGCACACAGGGAAAATTTGTTCAGAGCAGAAACAGAGAGCCTGATGAAAAGGCAAAAGCAGCTCTTGAGCTTGTGCACACTGATATGGCTGGCCCTATTGAGCCAGAGGCGAAAGATGGGTCCAGATATACTCTAGCATTTACGGATGATTATTCAGGGGCAGTTTTTGTGTATTTCCTAAAAGCAAAGAGTGATACTGTAAAAGCTACTGAGAAGTTTATTGCCGATGTGGCCCCTTAAGGAAAAATAAAGTGTGTCAGGTCAGATAATGGCACAGAGTACACAGCCAAAGAGTTCCAGTCACTGCTCAGTAAGAATGCCATAAGACATGAAACTTCAGCCCCTTACTCACCCCATCAAAATGGGACCGCTGAGAGAAATTGGAGAACACTGTTTGAAATAGCAAGATGCATGCTACTTGAGAGCAACCTACCAAAGAAATTGTGGACATATGCTGTAATGACTGCTGCAGTAATTCGCAATAGGTGTTACAATAAGCGTGTAGGACAGACTCCACACTACATGTTTACTGGGAGAAAGCCTGATCTTTCAAAGATGAAAGAATTTGGATCTGTTTGCTATGCATACAGACAGAACAAGAAAAAGTTGGACTCAAGATGTGAAAAGGGTATTTTTGTCAGGTATGATAAAAATAGTCCAGCATACCTAGTCTACTACCCAGACACTGGAAAAGTTCTTAAAAACAGATTAGTCAAGTTCGTTACAAAAGGTGTAGTCGAACGCCAAACTCAAATGAGTATCTTCATTTGAGATTTGAATCCCCCATGCCAAAAGCCAAGATGGCAGATCAAAATTCCAAAGAGACACAAGATGTGCAAATCGAGACTTCAGATAGTCAGAGTCCACGCTA